TCGTTCTTCTCCTCTGGTAATATTAGCTTATTATCCAGAGTGATGAGGTTTCAAACTGTTTGCACATTATTTTTATTACTCTTATTATCATTATTCTTTCCATAGAACTTAAAATATACTACTTTTATTGACAGATATAAGTAGTATATAACACTAATCGGAAATAAGATATCGAATAGCAGAAAATTAAAAATATCAAGTTAAATTTTTAAAAAGGAGAAGTGAAATGGAAGAATCGTACAAAATATGTAGGATAATCGATGGAAAATATACAAATTAGGTATTTAATGTATGATTCTCATATTTTACCAATATATTATGTATTTGTTTATTAAACAATGAATTGGTTGTCATCAAAAAGGGGTTTTGTGGATATTATAATAATTTTAATAGTTGAGTTCATGAGTCAATTGAAGCTAGACCATCATGGAAAACTTAGAAGCACCGGACGTCTGTTTCGTTTTAGTATGGGACTCCTCAGCAGTGCGCATCTACAATCCTGCCCCGTATAACGATATTCAACTTCAAATTCACTTGGTGTTGTTTTACTTGTATCTTCCCATTGTTATTTAGGACCGCAACTGATCAGTCTCATGTTGGCATATGTGCATCCCGTGAGGATTGCTTCGATATAGCCTTAAGTTACTAGCTTTTTAAGCAAAGACGGATAGTGGCTAGCTGTGGAGCCCAGTTTGACGCGCATTTTGTTCTATTCGCGAGTCGTCAGCTGGATGTACCTGCATCCCAGAGTTGAGCGAATGGTACTGGGTTCGAGTCTCTACGTGAACATCAACTCTGAGATGCAAGTACATCCAGCTGACAGGTTCAAACTAAGACAAACAGCATATCCTAGATTACACCTCTAAACACATTCCATTTACTTTATAAAAACTGGTGAAATTAATGACTATGGATACCTATCCTGCTAAATTAGAGGTGCTGAAACTCAGTCAAAAACATATCAACAAAGGAATAATCTAAAAAATTCATGGCAAAGTAAATCTAAAAAGATCCATACTTTTGTAAATAAACTACATGAGTGTTGATGTGGTATCTATACGGAACATTCCATTTGTTCGCTGTAAGTCATATGATTATTTCCCATGTGAAACGTATTAATAAAATACAACAACTTGACACATTCTGCTGTTAATTCGAAATGAACATCAATATAGTTTATCTTCGAACATAAGTTTCACATTTTATGATATGAGTACAAACAGTGAAAAGATTGTGGTGGTTCCCAGCAAAAGGAGCTTATACAAGATATATCGATACACTAGGTTAATAATAATATACCAAGAGAGTTAACAGTAAAAACCCTAGGTGTCTGTCTGCGGGTAAAACCAAGGGTAACAAAATACAGTTAGGATAAAAATGGTATATTAAACAAACAGATAATAACAGTTATTATGGAATGAATGTTACTTGTAAGCTGCCTCGTGAGATAACAACCACAAATTGAGTTCACTTGATTGACAAAGACTCCTTTGCAAGTGATTGAGGAAGACAAAGTCCAATGGTATTATATAATAATAATCCGTGCCAAAAGTCCAACGTAGTGTCAGAAGGCCATGCAACAAATCACAAGAGTAAAACCGTGACGGTTTTTATTTTGTCTTCACAAAAATCGCTGAATATACGTCACCATAAGATTTATGATTATGTTATTGCTTTCATATTCATTATTGATAAGTCATTTTTCATATGGAATGTAATCAATGTAGAATAGAAGTACTTGTCATACGGAATGTTAATTTGAATAACTTTATAGTACAATCAGTGATGAATTGACTACAAAATAATGTAGAACATTGTAAATAGTAATATAAATATAAAAGTGTCTGACAACATAATACTTAAATTTAAAACAAATTAGATAAATGGATAAAATAGATCGATTATTTGTTTAATGGTTACTTACAGTTAGTATCTCTTACTTGAGGTATCCAAATGGATCATAATCTATGGTTGAAAATCTTTTATACTATTTAATGCAAAGTTCTTTTAAGCTATAAATCTTTAAACAATTTCAGAGTTGGTGAAATAACGTAAAAACCCTATACAACTTAGTTTTACATCTTGAACGTATTCCGAAATCATAGAACTAATTACTGGATGTTGAATTACTTATTGTATTTCATTAGCTTTAATGATGTCTGATAATAAGTCGTCATTTTTGTGAGTAGATTTCCTATTTGTAACAAATTGGTTTCCACTCGTATTGTGGTGTGTGCTACTTATACTGACATAAGTAGTATATGACGTTACTCGTGAACAGAAGGTCTGGCAGTAGAGAAACAAGAGGATCGAACAGTAAAGAATGGGAACAGAATGCAATTAGTATGAAAAGGCAAGAACAATGAAGTCTGAGTCATTATGAGACAATTGATTGACATTTTGCAAATTACGTATTTACTATTTGACTGTTAGATTTTACTAACAAGTCCTGTAATTTCTAATCAAATGTGTTCGATTGTCCCCACTGGTGTTCTTGTTCACTACAGTATATGTGATCATGTTATTCCGATAAGATTGCATCTCTCTTTTAAGTGTACTTGGAAAGCAGGGTAACCTGAAAACCAGAACTGGATAGACCACTATAGAAAGTGATCGAATGATGCAACTTAAATGTAAAACTACATAAGTTATATAGTTATACCATTTTAGTTAACTGATGAACTGAAGCTATTTATCGAATAATATCATTAGGCGAATCACATTGAATATATTCTAAATCTACACATTCATTGAGTGGCTTCACATTTTTAAACATATTGATTTTCTTCAATGTTAGCACCACTAGTGTTACTCTTTTGTATTTTAACATCATGACAACACACTATGTAGTGATACTGTGGTGTGAGCTACTTATATCCACATAAGTAGTATATAACAATACTCAGTAGAAGATCGAGAAGGAAAGAACGGAAACGGAAGGTAATTGGTATGAAAATGCAGGAATAATGAAATCTGTAATGATGGACTGATATTTACAAAAGAAACAGTCAAGTTTAAGTCAATTAATTAATATTTTGCATGTTAACTATTTACGGTATAGTTCTCAGATTTTAGTAAGATGTTCTGTAATTTTGTGCATAAATACATTCAGTTGTCCACATTCGTATTCTTGTTCACTACATTACTACTTACAAAAGTTCTGGATTGAAATACTCCTATATAATCAATTGTTTTCCTTATGTTTTCCTAGGTAGTAATGAAGTGCTCATCTCAGATTCCTATTACTCATATACTTAAATTTTGTCTAAAATTTGACATCGAACGTAGGTAAACTAATTTTTTTGTTTGAAAGAAAACTGTAAAGGGATATCAGATCGGAGAACCTTAACACATGATAAACAATTTTATCATGATAGGGAATATGGACTATATTCAATCTGAAATATTTTATGATCTATGTAAATAGACAATAAAATGTAATGTCACTTGGTACTGTTTTACTTGAATCTCCGCATTGATGTTTATGATTGCATAATTGATCAGTCACTTATTGGCATATGTGCATCCTGTGAGGATTGCCTCGATATTGCCGTAGTTCACAAGCATTCTAAACAAAGATGGATGGTGGCTAGTAGTGGAATGAAGGATGCGCGTTTTGTTCCATTTGGGTGTCATCAGCTGGATGTACTTGTATCCTACAGTTGATATTCACTCCACGACTCAAACACAATACCGTTCGCTTCAAATGCCATTGTGTTATCTAATTGCTACTGAGTCTTGTTTAATTTTGAAAAGAAATACGAGATCCATCCTAATTCATTGGCATGATCAGGTTGATACAGAAAGGAATGTGACATGTTACGAACAGAAATGTTTGTGATATAAGACAAAATCTAGGCAATCCTCACAGGATGCACATATGCCAATAAGTGACTGATCAATTGTGCATTCCTAAACATTAATGCGGAAATTCGAACAAACAATACAAAACTGATTAGAAACGGAACGATAAATTGTTAAAAAGATTGATACACAAATTGTTTTGAAAGGAAATTTGTCACTAGAACTATAATCACACGGAGCATCAGTTAGAAACTAATGAATTAAAGTAGAAGGGCTAGGAAATCCTATTGAAGAATGAATAATGTAGAGAAGCGAGATTACAATGACATGATAGGATAATTTATTGACTTTCATCAATAGAATTTCTGGATAACCAATACTCCATAGTTATATTCTATTGGACGCTGAATGTATCCGATAACATTCACGGTTGAGATTTTATTTGTGGAATTATGCATAAACAAGATAATTCACTTCATCACTTAGATGGAAGAAATGTTTCAAATGATGAAACCAGTATAGGCCATTGAAATACCGAAGGTGATATCAACAGTCTTATAGTCTACACATGTTTTCCTATGTAACTAGGTTCATCAATAGCCTACAAATCAAGAGATGGGCATCATATTTATTGGATCGAATTAAAATATAAACCTCAGTTAGATTGAAAATAGAAATAATCATTTTAGTTTCATTAAAAAAATGGTTCGCTATTGACTGATAAATTATGAAGTAGTCAGTAAAAAAAATCTTAGAAACTAAATAAATTAGTCAGGGTTAATTGAGTTATTTCATCCAATCATCGTTTACTTGTGAAGGTCACTTTTAGAAACTTCAACGAACAATATAGACAGTAAATTGAATAAGGAATTAATTAAAACTGATAATAAATACTACTACTACTACTACTACTACTACTACTACTACGACGACGACGACGACGACGACGACGACGACTACCACTACATCTCTTTCAAGTAAGTTTTATATTCGAATAACATTAGATATGTACAAGCAACTAGCCAATCATTTATTACAGATTAGGTGTTTATATATCAACAAGGCTTGTTTATATTTATATATACATACATAAAGTTTAACAATGGATTCGTTGAATTACATTAATCCAACTCTATATTATCATTGTAATACTGCATATATTTGAATAGTCATTTATTATTAAAACAAAGTTGAAAATGCTTATGAAAATCAAAAATGTATGTAAGTAGACTTTAACATTATTGCCATTATGAATGTTCGCTTTCATTGAGATTAAAAAGAAAAATTGGATTTTATAATTGATATTTAATTTAATAGTTGAATTCATGGGTTGATTAAAGCTGGACTATTATGGTAAACCTGGAAGCACTGGACGACTGATTCGTCTTAGTATGAGATCCGTCAGCAATGCGCATCCATGATCCCGCACTTAGGATACGAACCTAGGACCTTCGGTTTCGTGCTCGAACGCTTGACATCTGGACTACTGAGCCGGTGTGCGGAATCGTGGATGTGTACTACTGACGAGTCCCATACTAAGACGAAACGGCCGTGCAGTGCTTCAAGGTTTTCCATAGTAGTCTAGGTTTAATCGACTCATGAATTCAACTATAAAATTACTAAAATCTCCACAAAACCCCCCAATTTGATGATATTTATTTATTAAGAATATTAATAATCAACCTGTAATGAACTGATTCATCAAAATAAATGAAGCAGATGCCTTACGATTATTCGGAATACTTGCTTTATTGGAAAAGTTAAAGAAACATAGTCTTCAACATCCGTACGTTATATTTAAGCCAACGAATTAAGATCAATAAATAACGTCATTACCAGTTTATGTATATTTCAAAATCGTTTCATGATAACAACTGTGTTTGAGATAAATCTAGTCATGTTCGATATGTTAATTTGAATAACTAGACTGTGAATCACTCAATGGACTCTGACTAGGTAATCTATAGATTCCACCCCCCATTATGATGCCTAAATTTACTTGATTCGCATTTCATGTAGAGTTGTGCTTATAAACTGATAGCGAATCATGCACAGGGAAAAAGCAACTGTTCACCGACCTCTGACTTTCAAAATGATCATTCGAATTACACCAGTCCGTTATGAACATGTTTCTACTAATTACTTATGTAAAATGTTATGACGTTTACAGTTGATTTAGACTAGCGATTTATTTTACATGGATTTATTTTCGATATTTCTAATAAACATCATGATCGATGAAAACCAGTCAATAATATAAACATATATTTGCTGGTCATCAACAAATCTACTCACACACACCTGTTACTCCTCGTGGAGGAGCATAGGCCGCCCACCACACTTTCCATCTAACCCTGTCCTGGGCAGTCATTTCCAGCTCTTTCCAATTGTTATTCACTCTTTTCATATCTGCTTCTATTTCCCGACGTAATGTGTTCTTTGGCCTCCCTCTTTTCTGTTTCCCTTTAGAATTCAATGTTAGGGTTTGCCTCGTAATGCAGTTTGATGATTTCCAAAATGTATGTCCTATCCACTACTAATATCTTTTCTCAATTTCCTCATCAGCTGGAAGCTGGTTTGTCCTCTCTTACAGACGTCTGTTGCTGATGATATCCAGTTAATGAATATTGAGTATCTTGCGTAGTCAACTATTTACAAATACTTCTAACTTTTTGATGATGGATGTAGTAGTTCTCCAAGTTTCAGCTTCGTATAGTGGAACTGTCTTGAAGTTCTTATTGAAGATTTTGACTTTGATATTGGTTGATAGCTGTTTCGAGTTCCATATGTTCTTCATCATCAAGAAATACTGTCACTAAATTTAACTGGTCCACAAAACTAGAAGAAATATTAACTATTGATGTGAAATTCGTAGTGTATCAGTAGTAAACCGCCAGTTGACTCAAATGTTCAAACTTGACAATAAATATTGAGATAGAATAATGTTTAAAGTTTCAGTCAAAGATTTTCGTAGCGGAAATGTTTGTTCATCGCTGACTTTTAACTAACATATTTATAAACCAGTCATATACATTTATATAATTATATTCGTATTCTTGATACAACTATAATATATATGACTGAAATACGAGTCATGATTGAATTATAAAATAAGACCTGAGTAGAGAACACATTTAAATCAGCGATCTCTATAACTCATGACTTGTTCCACTATGGACTAAAATAAAAAGTTAAACATGTAATCAGCTATTAATTAACACTGAATTTAAACTAATTGTGATCAGTTTGTGATATAAGCTACATATAAGTCAATGTGTTCGCTTGTAACTATTCCCTACTTTATGAAATTAAACAACACAACAGTGACATGAAAACTTGATTAGATCTATCACTGTGGCCAACATTATGTTCATTTTCTAACTATTTTAAACCAACGAAACTTAAAATTATCTTGTTGGATATCTTTAAGTTACATTCATTTCTGATAGAAAGACAAAGTTGTTTACCCTAAATGACGATACACACTTTTCTGTCATCATTAAACTACAATAGAATAGAATGATAAACTGAAAAAATATCATTTTTAACAGCCCTATTTACTAATTAAGCTCTAATATAATATGAAATAAAAGCTCTCTCTCGAATGATATTTCAATAAATGATTTGATGAGGAAAAATATTCTTAGTTGATTGGTTGAAGTTAGATATTAACACCGTTGGATGCCGACTCAATGATTTAGAGGTTAAGATTACAGCCGCAAGACCGAAAGTTTTGGGTTCGAATCCCGTGCTCAAGATCGTGGATACTCACTACTGAGGAATCATATACTAGGACGAAACGGTCTTCCAATGCTTCCAGGTTTTCCATGATACTCTAGCTTCAATTGTCTCATGAATTCGTCTACTGAATTACTATAATATCCACAAAACCCCTTTCTGAAATTTATTGACTTAAAAAAAACTACTTTCATCATGTAAAACTTCATTCAGCTTTTGTTAATAAATTAAAATGCTTATAAATTTATGCATGGAAACACTATAATGGTATTACTGAATTCTATACATTAAATAGGATTTTATTATCATTTAAGTTTCCAGTAAATTTTATAAATTCTGTAGTGATAATATGATATAATCATAAGTTATGTCATGAAGTTTCAGCTTCAGTTTGGATACGACAGGAGGCTTGATGACCTGTGATAGTCTTGAAGGGATACTGAATCCTATGTAAATAGTTATCTGTAATAATACTGTTGAGTTGTAAAAGTAGTTGAACATTGTGCTCTTTATCGATTAGATTTTTCTAATCATTTCATAATGATATAAATCTTGAACTGTCACATTTATAACTAATAGATTTATAGTAGCCCCATCTTATATATCCTTGGAAGTTTTATTGAACTATTAACTGGCGAGAAGTCATGTATTATACTAAGCATCGTTACATTTAGCTTTGAACACTTGATTGAATAGTTGAATATTTTACTGTGTTTCCGTATGTCATTCTGAATAAATATGTACACATATTCTGTCGCTTTCGAATAGTCTGATGTTGTGTTCTCTTTGCTGTTATCTTTTCAGCTCCTATTGTTTTCTGAAATAAACGTTTCTATAATCTCCTACAAGTGAAATACGATTTTACAATGTTTAATTCAGAGTAAAAGGAGTATTTGGGTAGTTAAACATTGCGAGATGACATAGAACGACAGCTTTGAATTAGACAAAAATTTAAATGTTCATTTCAACACGTATAATTAGGAAAATATTACTCGGTAAATTTCAGCTAGCGGAAATCATTTGTCTTCTATCCAAATTGTAACTAAATATACTGATGAAATAGGTTTGTGGCCGAAAGCTTGTTGGTATCGTAGTCGTATGACAAAAATTCAACCAAACTTTATAAGAGATTCGGTCCTAGCAGCAAAGTTAACATTACTGACCGAATTTTTGAATCATATTTTGTTAATGTGGAATTACACCTCAATAAATACATGCACAAGTGTCCTGAAAAAAGCAGTATACGAGATTTATAGAGATTGTTATGCTTCATAATTTACATCACTACCTTTCCTAAGTTAGACGACTACATAATGTAACGAATGGATTGAAGTTGTACACTACAGAGCGCTGGATGTCAATTTAGTGGTTCAAGGGTTAACAACCTGCCACCAAACCTGAATATCATAGATTTGGTCTCTAGTGGGATCGTTAGTACTCAATGGTGAGGGGTCTTATAGTGACTAAAAACTATCCATAGCTTCCTGGTTTTTGATAGTTGTATTGTTACGGCTTATGCTCTGTCATATATCACGTGACAAAACACCTTGTCCCTGGTTTAAACCAGTGAAGCACTAGCTAGCACGAGCAGTCTTGAGTCAACTGTGAGTCCTTATTGGAATCCATTATAGTTACTTCCCGTCTAATCCAGCCCCTTCAGTCCAGTACATAAATATCAGCCTCAGCTGTGTGAATCGTATATTTCAGACACACGTGGTTTATATACATGCAGACCAAACCGCATCACACCATAAAATGAGAAACAATAATTATACAAGATCAGGCCAAAAGTGGCTATGGGTGCAGGAGATTGTAACAAATGGATTGAGAATAAATTAAGAATAGTAAATCATAAAACAATAGCCAATAGGTCAAATGAAAGCTTATGATAGCAGGAATATAAATATATATATAATCTAGTTACTGAATGAGAATATACGTTATAATAGTCCCCAAAAAATTCTTAGCAGTTATCATTCATTTGTCATTCGACCGGTTTGTCATTTAAACTATAAAAGTTAGTATGGTGGTAGATATAATTTTTTAACTTCGTATACTGCTCGTCCTGATAACCGTTACTAGATAAAATCAATGGGAAGGTTCAAATAAACAATACAAAATGAATTTAAACTTCATCATATTACACAAGCTAGTGGTTATAAGAATTCACTAACTGAGTGGATAACACAATAGCGTTTGGAGCGCATAATATTGGGTTTGAGTCCCAGAGTGAACATCAACTCTGACATGTAGATACATCCAACTGATGAGTTCCCAAAAGAACAAAACGTGCATCCTTCATTCCACTACTAACCATTATCCTTCCCTACTTATAAAATTGAAAAATGTTTATGATTTCATAATCATTTTTTTCTTTATTTTTAACTATACTATTCATACTAAATAAAGTGACATTTGAAATTTTGATTTAATTTACATGGAATACAACTTGATTAACATTTTAAACATAAATGAGAGATTTTCACAGTGAAGCATTTGATTAATTTAATTCATTTAGACTGATAGGTCCTGGGTTCGAATCCCACTGGAGGGGCGGGATCGTGGATGTGCACTGATGGGGAATCCCGTAGTAGGACGAAACAGCCGTCCAGTTCTTCCAGGTTTTCCACGATGGTTTAGCTTCAATTGACTCATGATTTTAACTATTGAAATTACTAAAATCTTCACAAAACCCCTTCTGACAAAAATTATAAATTCAATATCTAGAAATTAGATTAAATTCACTCCATGTTTCATCCATTCTATACAATTTACTAATCTAAGAATGTATAAAATATAGTTCAGTTGTATACATTTAATCATAATGTAAACAAGTTCATCTAAATCACTATCACATTTTAATTGTTTATAAATTAGAATAATTTTTAGGTTTTGTTAATAGATAAACCCTTTACACCTTAATAATTATCTTTGTTGTGTATGATGATAATCAGTGTAATCTGTCCCGACGTGCGATGTTTTATGGTGTAGGAGTAGGTTAGAAGAAAGCTAGGAGTAGTCAGACCAAAACATAACACAAATCCATGAAGTCACTGACAAGTAGACTGAGCAATGTTGGTAGGTGTAGACTACCTGGTTGGGATCCGCAATATGATAGCAACCGATGGTTAGATGCCTAGAATGACATGACTCATAATCGTTTGCAATGGCTCAGGTGCATCCACTCTGTGTGTTCTCCCAAATTCTAATCTTCTGAATTCTTCATGTCCCTTTTTTTCTCCAAATTTGTTTTACTGTATTATAATCCTTGAATAACATCTTCAAACCCTAATCTTTCCGATTACCGCTTATAGTTTTACTAACTCTGCCACTATGGGATTTGAATCGACAATGGTATCGGTGTGCTAATGTGGTGTGGTAACTAGTATGTACGAAGTTCTACGTTGTTACTGACTGACTGAGTGTAATTTGTCAATGAATTGCATAATAAACTTATATGTAATATATTACAAAGTGATTGCATAATATGACACATGATATTATCAAAACTAATGACTAACCCTTGAAATTGGGAACTAGTGTGGCACCTCATGACAGTGTTGATCAACATTAGTACTTTCTAATCAATGGCATAGCCCTTGACTTCTCAGACACTTGTTATTGCTAAGAGAATAGACACATCGCGAGTGCAGATCTTAACGTATAAACTAAGACTGAAGATTACTACTAAATACTAGTTAGCAACATGATCTCCTTCTTGTGATTCCCTTTGAGTAGTAGCAGTAGTATTAGGTGTTACGGCTAATTATATTCAAGTTGTTTGTTTTTGCCCTTGTATACTAAAATTCTCTTACATATTTTCCTCAGCATATAACGAGAGTTACATAGTATTGTATTCATGAGTTTGGATTCCTCTTTTCTGGAATAATAAATTTACTTGACTGATGAGCAACTGAGTATATTCGACGAGCTACTGTTTTATTGCAACAAAGCAAGAAGGACAATATTAGCTGAATACTTTTAATTCGTTGTAATTCATTGTTTCTCTCATATACATATAAGCTAATGAGTTTGGTCAATAAGGTTAAAATTGTCTAATAAATGAAGTGTTAATCAATCATATGATCTACTTATACTGGAGAGGTTACCACTGGGCTATCCGGTCCGCGACCGACCTCCTGTAGGACTGAAATGTAATCACAATTGATTGATCATGGGTGGTGATCAATGCCATGTGTGTCAAGTCCTTAGTACAGATCGACTACCTCCAACCACCATCTTATCTCAACATAGTGCACGCAAATTCGAGTCACCTAGACTAGTTGCCACATTGCAACTTGGTCGATAGCATTCGATCTACATTAAGAAGGACTTGACACACATGATATTGATCACCACCCAGTGATCAATCAATTGTGATTATTAACTTTGAATAAACACTAACCATTAAACTATCACACACTAATAATTCTAATTTCAACACCAGTACAAATTGATATAAAGCTAGATACATTAAAATGATTGAAATACAAGTTAGCATATTAAGGCAATTCACAACTGATGTTCGTTTATGCATAATGAATTTTGTTTTTCATGAATTATTTGAACTATTTATGAATTATACAATCGTGGATCGCGGATATGCACTGCCACTGAGGAGTCCCACAATAGGACGAAACATCCGTCTAGTGCTTCTAAGTTTTCCAAGATGGTTTAGCGTCAAGTGACTAATGATTTCAGCTATTAAAATATATAATACTTGTTAATAATTGGTAAAGTTGAATGTTTGTTCATAACTTCAACTGGTATGTTAACAAGATATATGCGGAAAGAAATCAGTTAAAATTGGTTATAGTGATCTCTTATATAAAAGTATTATAAATTTTCAAATACTTTGACTGAAGAAAACTAAGTCTGTCAACTAGAATATGTGATATCAAGCTAATTACATCGTTCAGTGGTACATGTGACTGGTTAATAATACTTTCACATTTAGAGATTACAAATACGGATATTGACTGTATACTTTCAAGTGAAAAAGTGGTTGCTTTCATGATTAGATGTATAACATATTTACTCAAATATACGAAACAGAATCAACTTATGTATGATCTATGAATGGATTAAAGTCAGTTCACTATGAGAAATCTTTACAATCCACCGAGCTAAACAAAACTGTTCTTTGACTAATATGTAAATTAAGAACAGATCTCTGAATGATAAATAAGAACTTTCATCTAAATTTGATCGAATAGTTTCACAGTATTTGGGTGCCGAGTTAATGTGAGACATTAAAGAAGAAAAGCTTGGACCAAATTGTCAGGTGAAACGTTGGATTTACTTCAAATTCTTTCGCTGAGAATTTACAAATACATTCTTCCTCTTTAAGATCTCTGAACGTTTTAATGGGAATCTGCAAACTATATAATGCAGTAAGTTTGGAATGAGATAGTTTTCATTGACAATGATTGCGCTGTATTGGATATACGATGTAAATCATCTAATGGTTAGAAGTAATCGATGAGAAATCGTACTTGACCTTGGTTCGTTACAAAGGTACACCTCAAATTTCAAGAGAAACGATAACTCCTGGGGGGGTTTCGGACCCCAGACACACAGCTTTATACTCTGAGATGTTATTAGTAAGTTATTTGGGTTGCAACTGACCTCTTGTTGGACTACGATATCTATAGTTTTTTTTAGTTGATGAAACTGAACGTGAGTTTTACTGTCAGGTGCTAAATGGCATGGGACGTAGATTCAGGGTTTTATATCGACTACCTCCAACCATTTAACATCTAAACACGGTACACATGGTATCAAGTCATTTAGACGAATGACCTCATTACAGCTTGATTGCTAAAATTCAACCAGAACTAGAGGCTAAAATAACGCTGACTTTGGATAGAATTCAGTAATCACCCAACTGTGCATGCTGTGCAAATTGTCTCAATACTGCCACTAAGTCACAATCATTATAAGCAGAGATGGATGGTGGCTAGCAGTGGGATCCATGACGCCAGTTTCGTCCTATTCGGAATTCTTCAGCTGGATGTACCCGTACCCCAGAGTTGATATTGACTCTGGACTCGAATCCAGCAAATAAACAAAGCTTTCACAAAAAACCTCTTTTATTACAACTCACTTTAACTCAACCATTTCATTCTAGATCCATAGATATTTTGCTGATATTTATACTATGTAATATAATAAAATTCTTCCACATTGGTCTAGCTTTAATCAATTCATGAATCCAACTATTAAGAATTAATGCAATATCCACAAAAACCCTCTTCTAATAATTATCATCATGTGCTCATTATTGCTGGCTTCATGAAGTATTTCCTAGAGTTCTAGTGAAAAGCCGTACACAGTGGAGTTCAATTGTCTCTGCTGTGGAGGCAATTACTCATTGAAAACAATAGTGGACGGTCACGCAATATCGTAGATTGGTTGTAGTTAGACAATAACACCGTTGGATGCCGACCGGCTCAGTGATCTAGAAGCCAAGTGTTCGCCCACATGACCGAAGGTTCTTGGTTTGAGTCCCGTGTGTGGGATCGTGTATGCACATCACTAAGGAGTTCCATACTAGGACGAAACGGCCGTCCAGTATTTACAGGTTTTTCACGGCGATCTAGCTTCAATTGAATCATGAATTCAACTACCAAAACTTATTACAATCTCCACAACCCCCCCTTTCTGATAATAATATAATTTTATTAAATACACTAATTTAAATCCACTTTTTTATTTTTCAGTTCAATCAGTGACTTTTTTTTCATTCATGTCATTTCATAAAATTATTATCATTTTTGGTATCATAAATACATTTATGTTACTATGGCTACTACATAAATATGATGTATATAATAATTGGACGGTAACAATACAAATGAATATGATGATATATTAAACAATTCAAAATTGTTAACATTTAATCAAGTAACCAATTTACATGTTTATATAGTGGAAGAACATCATGAAGGTAAGATTTATATTGTTGTTATTTAAGTTTAGTAAAAAACAATTATTCATTTTTTAGAGGATATTACAAATGTAAGCCTGTTACCTCTCATTGAGGAGCATAGGCTACTGATGAATACTTTAAGTAGATTAACTATATATTTGATTACATGTAAAAGAATTATGTCATCATGAATGGTTGTCGTAAGAAATGATTCATTTTTTGAAATCAGTCAAATAGTTGCTATTATCAGCTTAATTATGTTGTGTAGGTAAAATTAGTAATTAAGTATTAAATTAACTTATTACGTAAAGTATAGTTAAGATACTTAGAGTATAAATATTATGGTTAGCAGTGGAAATCGGGATTTGTGTTTTGTTCCATTTAAGATCCGTTAGCTATATATATGTATATATATCTTCGCTATAGTATTGGTTGATCTCTGTAAACCGTTTAGTCCTAGTTATTTTGAATTATAAATATTGGACAGTTAGGCTGAAGCTGGACGATCTAGACTTCGCAGATGATCTGCGTTTCCTGTCGCACACGCAGCAACAAATGCAGAAGAAGATGATCAGTGTAGCAGCAGTAGGTCTTAATATACACAAAGTAAAAAGCAAGATTCTCCGATACAACACAGCATGCATCAATCCAATCACAATTGACGGAGAAGATTTGGAAGATGTAAAATCCTTTACATATACGGGGAGCATCATTGATGAATACGGTGGGTCTGATGCAGATGTAAAAGCGTGGATAGGCAAAGCAAGAACAGCACATCTTCAACTGAAGAACGTCTGGAACTCAAAACAACTGTCTGTCAACCCACACCAAGGTCAGAATTTTTGATACAAGTGTCAAGACAGTTCTGCTGTATGGGGTGGAAACTTGGAGAACTACGAAACCTATCATTGAGAAGATACAAGTGTTTATTAACAGGTTTTTACGCAAAGTATTTCGAATCCGTTAGTCAGACACAACCAGCAACCACCTATTGTGAGAGGGAACGAACCAGATCCCAACGGAGGAAGAAATCAGGAAGAAGTGATGGAAGTAGATAGAACACACATTGAGGAAAGCATCCAACTGCATTATAAGGCAAGTCCTCACTTGAAATCCGCAAGGTCAAATAAAAGAGAAGAGGAAGACCAAAGAACAAATTACGCTGAGAAATGGAGAAGGATATGGAAAGAATGAACAACAATTGGATAGAACTAGAAAGGGAGGCTCAAAACAGATTGGGTTGTAGAATGCTGGTTGGCTGCCTATGCTCCATTGAGAGTAGCAGGCGTAAGTAAGATATATATGCAGATGGATGAAAGGAGAAATGAACATATAAATTATGCACCAGGAAATTTCAAGAAATGTCAGTCAAAACCTTTATTCTTTTGGCTGACGTCAAATTAAATCATTCTGTATTAACATTCTATCTTATGCTAAATATATCACGTTTTGCAACTCTAAAGGAATTTTCATTACATACTATACGATTATAATATAATTTGTTTTATTGTATGTATTTTTTATTTGTTAGCTTTATCTAGTCAATGTTTTGTTGTTAATTGATGGGCTATTCATTTCTTCAAATGTATATAACATGTATGAATGTTGGGTGATAGTTGCAGGAAATCGATAGAAGACCTCGAACCTAGGTTTCATACTATTTGGCACTTAAGAGAAAGGCTTATCTGTAATTTTGAGAGAACTGATGCTAACTGGAGGATTTGATCCTATGTCACTCTGATTCACAGTCGGGAACGTTAGGAATGAGCTTGCGGATAGCAATGGACTTTCTGTATTTACAATAGAGTGATCATTGAGTGATGACCAGTGTCACGTAACTCAAGTCTTTTACAGCTCTGATCGAATTCTGTCGATCAAATCCTATCAAACACCATAAGATTACAACTCAACATAATCCACGTGGTGTCGAGTTACTTTGACTAGTGGCTGAAACTTGACTCCATCGATAGAACTAGCTTCAAACCAAGAAAGACTTTATATTCGCCACTACTCAGTAATCAATTAATTATAAGTACATCATTGTTGCTTGTAAGTTATAGTACAATGCTAGTAATTATCTGATAGTATCATTATTCTAGAAAAGATTCGCGTATCTAGCGAACTACATATAAGTTAATGCAAAACAATTATTTCAAATACTATTTACTTGAAAAGATTAGATTTATTGGTTTACATATTCGTATTCTGAGTAGATTGTTTTAATATTGCTATTTGTTACTAGCTCTCAATAAAATTGGATTATGGATGGTAGAGGAATTCAAAATAGGTGTTTCGTCCTTTACAAATAAAATTCATGTGCTTTACACAAGTTAGTATCTATTTAGACTCATTACTACCGTCAATTAGGTATGAGTGTTTATAGTAAAAAATAACGGTTCGAATTTCAATGTGAACATCAACATTGAATTAAAAATGCATCCATCTTTTCCATTGTTATTCAGATATTAAATATCTTAAAAACTGGTTATATTACAACAAGCTACTCAAGAGTAGTATACTTATTATTATTAGCTTTATTCAATATGATATTTTTGGTACAATATAGAATTCTTAGCAAAAGGTATTTCAAAAAGTTTCCGTTTCTTACTTCTTGATCGATCCTGACGATAAATATTGAGTGATCACCAGTTAGAGGTTAGCAGTCCAGTAAATGAACACCTGAATAATGTATATTCTTTTTGCTGTATATTGCCAGCGACCACAATATCTCTTATTGGGCTTTTTGTAACTTTGACAACGAAAAGTTGTACACTTTTCAGAAACGCACTTGTTGAAATATCTAGATGAAGGAACAGGTAGCCCAGATGCTCAAGCAAGCCGCCGTCTGTTTTTCTGCTTTCGGTAACAGAGGTTGATTAATTGTACTTCTTAATATCCTTCATAACAAATTAACCATCATCAAAAGTAGAATTGATAATAGTTGACCTTTCTTAAAGTAATTTGTTTTTCAACAGTCATGTTATCTTTGTTTTTCCGACCTAATTTGTACTTATTTGAATTATGTTTATTTGATATATTTATAGTCATTCCTTATTGGTTTGATGCTGCCAAATCATTTAATAATAAGAAAGCTGTTTTGGTAAGTGTGTGTATTAATTTCTGAGAGAATATTGTGATAATTATCTGTATAGAATCCAAGTGAGTAGATTATTATTATTATTGTTATTATTATTAGTAGTAGTAGTGTTAGTAGCTTTATTCAATATGGTATTTTTGGTACAATATAGAATTCTCAGCACAAAGTATTTCAACAAGTTTCCGTTTCTTATTTCTTGATCGATCCTGACGATAAATATTGAGTGATCGCCAGTTAGATGCTAGCAGTTCCAGGAATCAACATCTGAATAATATACATTCTTTTCGATGTATATTGCCAGCGACCACAATGTCTCTCATTGTGCTCTTTCCTAACTTGTATAGCGAAAGGTTATGAACTTTTCACAAACTCACCTGAATAGGTTGTACGATTAATTTACGTAATGATCTGTTGAAACAAACAAGAAAACAGATAACTTGTTGAAATATCTAGATGGCAGGAACAGGTAGCCCAGATTTTCAAGCAGACCATCTTCACTTTTTAATTATACAAGGACGACGTTTCACATTAGGACATTTCATGGAATGAATAAATAGGAGATTGAGACATCTCTTCGATGAATTGTTCATATGATTATACGAATGAGATTTGTTTATCATCAAAAATTTGAATAGTGTAATAAGAAAATGAAGATTATGAGAACTATATGCTATTATTAGAGAAATACATATCGGACAATCTGATCACATAAACACGAGTAACATTTTTTAATTGTCGATAGTTTTTTAAGGGTATGAAATTTATTTCGAAACTCCCCATCTCTCGTTAATCAGCTGTACCGTTTTCCCACTGATCAAAATCGTCATTTTAGCCGGCCAATGAAATGACGATTACCGGACCTATGAAAGTTGTGAATTTGGTTTGGCAATATCAGTCTTATCAGAATGGGTTTTGTGGAGAATTTTAGACATTTCACTGGTTGAATTCATGAGTCAATTGGAGCTAGACCACCATGGAAAACCTGAAAGCACTGAACGGCCGTTTCGTCCTATTGTTGGACTCCTCAGCAGTGCACATCCACGATCCCGCCCTCCGCGAGATTAGACATTAACACCGTTGGATGCCGGCTCAGTGGTCTGTCTGGTTAAGCGCCTGGCGTGAGCATGGTCAGTCCTGGGTTCGAATCTCGCGGGTGCGGGATCGTGGGTGCGCACTGCTGAGAAGTTACATACTAGAACGAAACGTCCGTCCAGTGACTCCAGGTTTTCCATGGTGGTTTAGCTTCAATTGACTCATGATTTCAACCTGTGAAATATCAGTCTTAGTTAACTTTGCTGTCAGCCATGTCTATTTCAATTGGTGAGACTGATTTGATTTTCAGAGAAATGTTCGTTGGTGTAGGATTTCTAACGGAAGCGGAACGCATGAGAGACTATTAGAATGTGACTTTCTGACATTTCATAATACGATACAATTATCAAAACACAAATGATTTTCACATACAATTTGTATGCGAAAGGAAGTGTCACACTCAGTGATCAATAATGAGGGTTTGTTTGGAAGTAAAGTCTTTATCTATATGTCTAGAAAGCCTGTTGGTAGTGGTTGTAAATCCTACGTATGTGTTCGGCTGACAGAAGGCTTTTACGCAGTCTCAAGATGGTCAGTGAGTCATAATTACAAGTTGCTGCGTGTCGCTTGTGAGAAAGATCCTAGCTTTCATCGTTTGACAGTCGATTAGAAGAATACGACTCGTTCTTTATTGATATCACGAGCCGCAGTTTTTGTTGTCACCAATTTTGTGTATGAAAATTACAGGAAGAAAATAATCTCCCAAGATATTTATGACTTGCTGTTTTGACGAATCATATTAATGACTTATGAAAAAAAATAAAAAGGTTAGAAATTTATAAATGTCATTTCTCACTACTTCACTCCGTACGAAACTTGTCAGCGGTTGGATGTTATAGTCTAAAAGCTTTATATCTAGTTTCAGAACTAGTTTACAATCGTTGGAGGTAGTGAGGTCAGAATTAAGGTCTCTGACAGTGGGTGAGGGGATTTAAATTTATACAAAATGTATCAGTTTCCTTAAAATTTTAAATACACTCCCCGTCTTCCCTTAAACTATAATATTAAAATTGCTTCAGATCTTTCTTTCTACGAACTAATTCTTTCTTCATGTACTATATCCTTATATGCAATCTTTCTTTTATATATTACCACCTCTGTATTAACTACTTCTATGAATTCGGTGTTCATCTTGCTGTGTTAATGAGGTATGGCAAATTGGACCGATGCGCATATGTGCCTGGTCCTAAGTTGTAGCTGACTGACTGACTAACTGATTATTGAGTGTCAGGGTTTCAGAGTTTCATACTGATTTGGTTCAACCACCACTTACCATTAAGTATAGTGGACCATAATATAGGGTTATTCATACCAGTGACTGAATGTCAGTTTTATTAGTGAAGTTCAGTCAACCTAAAGAAAAGCCATACAAGGGTTTATTGGTCACTATTCAGTGTACCCGCAAAGATAAAAACATACTGATCCATTATTGAATATGAAAAAGATAAGTTGACTAACATGATACTGTGTAATACTGTAGAACTAATGAAATTAGAGGAGATTAATAAGAGAACATTCAAAGTAGTATCAGGCGAAAACTATTACAGATAAGAACTACAATTAGTAAAAAGTGAACAATTTGAAAAAAAAAACAGAGTAATGACTAGAATAAATTGTGTTGAACAGCTAATGCAAGTAAACTGTTCTTCAAATGAAAATTTAAAAAAATTACACAACAATGACAATTTCCTCTTAGATGATATCGTTCATTAAAGATGTAAGATCATGTATATACTTAGTCCGTTAGAAAAGCACGTGAGTGGGGATCATAAAGTATTGGTTAAAGTTAAACATTAAGACCGTTGGATGCCGACCAGCTCAATGGTCTGGTGGTTAAGCGTTCACAAGCAAAACTGATAGATCCTGGGTTGGAATCTCGCGAGGTGATATCGTGGATGTGCACTGCTGAGTAGTCCAACATTAGGACGAATCGGCCATCCAGTGTTTCCAGGCTTTCCATGGTGGTCTAGCTTCCATTGACTCATGAAATTTCATTTATAATTGTTTGTTAAATATGTTTACTTACTTACGAGTAATATAAAATTCTATTTAAATATTTTGACAAGGGAGAGCATTTTGGTTATTGAAAGTCGAAAGAATTGAAGTCCTATTTAACAATTACAGACTAGTTTTCATATCAAATTGAGTTCAGTCAATTCCAGGTGGCCAGCGTTTCTTAAAGCTATCATATAAAATTTTAGAAGTTAAATCAGGATCCGATAATTTATTTTTCTCGACCTCTTTAGATTGGGAATATAACTTGAACTTCAATTAGTGTTAACACTGAACATCTAATACAGTACTGGTTTGACTAACTGTGTGGGTAAAAGCTTTCAACTAGTAGGTGATCATGTCTCTCTGGAAGAGAGTTGATCATTAATACACAGTAATTTGTTAATTAATCAAACTATTTTTCAAAGCTAAATTTATGATATTTCAATTTTAATCGTATTACTATATTAAGTGTATGTATGGAGCTGGGATTGGTCACTTGACACATGGAAACTCAACCTTCTGTGAATTCACTAACAGAACAATAGTTAGTACCAAAAAATACCTTTCGATTTATTTGACCATCAGCTTTAGTGTAAAGGGTTTGTGTAGATAGTTGAATTACATTAATATTAATAATCAGATGCTAGTTAGCGACTAATCTTTAGAAAAAGTTTAAACAATTCTAATGAGAAATCATGATTGGTGAAGTTCAACAATATTGCATGTTAGCCAGTTATTCTATAATCTCAATGAAAGATGCTTGCAAAATATCATGAACTGATTGAAATCGCAAATGTAAACCACTTGACAGTGAATCCGTAGTTCATAGGTTGAATGTTCTCTTTCAGATGTGAAAATCCTAATTTCAATACTTGAAAAATCGCATACTACAACGAAAAAGTTGTTCTGTATTTCCCGTTTTTCAATGGTTATCTAACTCAGGTCAAGCCATGATGTAAATTAGATAAAAAAGAATGTACTCGATTGTGATGATTTCCTACTTTATGGAACTAAACAACACAAGAGCAGCATTAAAACTTAATCAAGCATATCACTGTGGTCAATATTATATTCGTTTTCCGACTAACTTAAATTACAAAATCTGAATTTTTTTTGTTCGATATCTTCAAACTACATTCATTTCTGATTGATGGACAAAGCTGGTTACGTCAAATGAATGTATGTAGTTTTATCTCTCGTTCAATTACAGTCCTCTTCATTCATTAGGCTTTGATGCAATATTGAACAAAACCTATCTAAATCATTAGCTAAGGTTAGTCTATAATGTAAATTAACATTCACACTGTTAAGAAATTTGAACTTGTCTCCATTTTTGAAACATACGATCTCATGAATTCAACTAAACTATTTGACTTTCTAAACAAAAGCGTCATTTGTGGCTAATTAATGAAAATTTCAATAAATTTTGTTATAAGATGACATAGTTATTTAATATCAGATGGGGTTTTGTGGGGATTGTAGTAATTTCAGTAGTTGAAATCATGAGTCAATTGAAGCGAGACCACCATGGAAAACCTGAAAACACTGGACGGCCGTTTCGTCCTCTTGTTGGACTCTTCAGCAGTGTATATCCACGACCCCACCCCGCGGGGTTTAAGACTATTTAATATTTACATGTATTCTGTCGAATGAAACGTTAGATTTCGTTTGTACGTAGAATAAAAAGCTGATAAATGTAACGTTTGATCAATTATGTAACTATGAGTTACTTAAAATAATACTAAATAACATAATAAGCAAATATGGATAGTAGCTAGTAGTGTGGAAGCCAGGATGCGTGTTTTGTCCTATTTGGGACTCGTCAGCTGAATGTACCTGCATTTTAGAGCTAATGTTCGGCATATAAAAAATAATAGATTGATTGTAAATCTTTGGTATATTTACAAGATTTTAAATATATACTTTTATAGTTGAGTTCATGAGTCAATTAAAGCTAGATCACCATGGAAAACCTGAAAGCACTGGACGGACGTTTCGTTCTAGTATGTGACTTCTCAGCAGTGCGCATCCATGACCCCGCCTGTGGGATTTGAATCCAGAACCCTCGCTCTTGCGTGCGAGCACTCAATCTCCGGACCAATAAGCTGGCCGGCATCCAACGTCACTAATGTCTAACTTCAACCAATTCACGAAATTGCGCGGCCATCCACCATTGTCTTCAGTGAGTTACTATCTCACAACAGACCCGGTTTTTAAAAAATATAATACCATCAATTTATAATACCGTAAATGGATAAATAACTAATTTACTAAAGAGGTCTGTCAGTTACTGTATTACTGTAGCCTAATGATCGTTACATATATCGTGCACAGAATTAGTTAGAATATATTCATTTCTTGTTATTAATTACTCTGGAAATCCACTTGATTTGTTCATATTTATAACAATTCGCTTATGATTACATCAGTGAAATGAAAGCTTTGAACTTATTAACACATTTTTGTAAACATTTACCATACATAATGGTAAAGATAATGGCAGGAAATAGGGTCATTTCCTCATATACGAATGAAAGATAATGAAAAATGACTATGATATAATGAACTCAGAAATGATTCTCAGAATACAGTTTAGGATATACACCTTTTATTTCCTGACATTTGTTGAGAAGAAAACTTAATTACTAACGCCTGTTACTCCCAATGGAGCATAAGCTGCCAACCAGCATTCTACAACCCAATCTGTCTTGAGCCTTCCTTTCTAGTTCTATCCAATTGTTGTTCGTTTTTCTCATGTCTATGTCCATTTCCCGGTGTAATGTGTTCTTTAGTTTTTCTCTTCTCCTTTATTTGGCCTTGAGGATTCCATGTGAGGACTTGCCTTATGATGCAGTTTGATGCTTTCCTCAATGTGTGTCTCATCTACTTCCATCACTTCTTCCTGATTTCTTCCGCCGTTGGGATCTGGTTTGTTCTCTCTCAGCGTACGAAGAACTTGAGGAAAATGGCATTTAATCTTTGATGCTTATTTTCTTTGATATGTGTAAATGTGTTGTGTTACATTTTTTCCATTATTTATTTAAACGTGCAAAACTAAATATTTTATAGCATTTTACCATCAAACTCCAATATCACTGTCTCTAATAATCAACAATATAGTTGATAGTTTTTTCCCTGCTTATACATTTCTAATTTTATTGTATAGCTAATAAAGCCTAAATTCCAACGTATAACTCTCTTGGTAGAACCTCAACAGATATCCCAGTTATATTTGTATAGTGACATGTCCAAAATGAACAAGAATCCCTCCTCAATCTCCTCGATTTAAACATTCGTCACATGAAAAAAAAATTGTGATTCAAAGCTTATCTAACAAATCTGTAGTAGATTAGTGAATTACTGGACATTGTCTAATTAAAGTAATTTTAGGAGGTAAACTACATAAAACTTTAACATGAATAATATTAAGCATTTGTTCAAAATTACTTTGATGTATGCTACTGATATCGACAGATATAAGTAGTATGTATCATTAATCGAAAATGAAATGCCTAACAGTAGAAAGTTAATAAGATTCAATAAAAGAGAATGAGGACAAATAATGACTGGTATGAAAACAAAAGAACAATGAAGTCTGAGACAATTGACTGACATTTCGTAAATCATGTATTTATTGTATGGTTTTTTTAGATTCTACTAAGATGTTTTGTAGTTTATGCTTAAATATATTCGATTGTTCCCACTTGTGTTCTCATTCATTGTAGTAGGTGTATGAAATCTGGTCAGAAATGTATATGCTCACTTTACTAACTATTATAAATGAAAATAAACATTCTTAATGATTGTGTTGTTGTTGTTATTGTTTTAGCTTCATATTGATGCCCATAGTGATATGGATTATCCAGAATTAGTAGATGAGTTTCCAATTGGTCATTTTCCTCATTCAAATAATGAAATGAAAACATTAATGCAAGCCAATGATGAATTTATTCAGGTATGTACAAGAAAATTATTTATTCTACCAAACTAGAAAAATACAAAAATTATGATAGTTTCTTTAAGATGTATATGACAGTAATACATTATATTTGAAAGATTTCAATTATGATATACTTTGACGCATTCATGAACAGGAACATGAAATCTATTGTACATCTACTAATTCTACATATATGATATTTTTAAAGATGAATTTCAACATGAAAGGATCAGATCATCTAAGAAGTAGACATAATACATACAAATTGTTGAATGTGTTTTGAATGTAACATTGGTAATTGACACTTTTAAAGTTTATTATTGTCTAGTTTTTTTTCAATGACATCACGAATTAAACAGTGAAATTGTAACAAAAATCAATTTTTACAATGAGATCTTGTTCTATTGATCAGATTCTAATAGTTTTATCAGTTTAATGGTTGTGGAGATTGTTAAGTTTTTGATTGAGATCATGAACCGATTGATGTTGAGGCTAGACGTTAACACCATTAGATGCAGGCTCAATGGTTCAGTAGGTTAAGCGTTTGAGCGCAAGACTGAAGGCCCTGGGTTCGAATCCCGCGAGCGGAACCGTGGATGCGCAATACTGAGGGGTCCCACAATAGGACGAAACGGCCGTCCAATGCACCCGGGTTTCCAATGGTGATCTAACATCAATCGGTTCGTGATCTCAATCTAATAACTTATTTTAGTTAGTTCAATGTTCATTATTTTAAAACTTTTGTAAATTGTCATTATTTGAATATACATTTAATATACATGATAATGAAAGGCAAAGAGGATTTGCAAATGATGTATTTAGTGTATAAATTTTACCATAATTTTGATTTCCCCACCTGAGTTGTCATTCACTATACATACTTCTGATGAATGTCAAAAGCCATCAGAGCGTTGACATTTGATGTAAAATCGATATTCAACAGAGTTAGAGAAAGTACAAAAAAAACTCTTTTTATGAATAACGAATTTAAAGGAGTTATGGTTGTTGAATAAAACTTTCTACTCAGCTAAGCTCCGAATTGTTTTCTTAAACCGGCCTACCATCTATGGATGTGTTAAGGATAAACTTCCACTTTGGGCCATATCAATGTGCATCTATAAGTTTACTTGCTCATGTGGAGCAGGTTAAATTGACAACATAAGGTGATCACTTTCCAAGTGCATCTCAGAACACTACCCGGAATGGCTTTTCAAAGGAGAATGCAAAAAAATTATCAGTTCAATTCAGCAGCATCTAATCAACTCTGAACACATAGTTCCGAAGGAGTCTTCTTTTAAAAGGAACTGGATAGAAGGGATGTCGAATCAAAAACTTATGAACTACTGAGGCATCGGCGATTCGTCGATTTAAGCTCGAACTCTGCGTGCGAAAACGATACGTCCAACTTCTCAGTTTTCCTTCATCCTAATTCCCCTCTGTAGCGTTTTTTTTAAAAATTAATGTTTTGTAGTTTTAAACCGTGACCAGTTATTATTATTCCTTAATAATTTTTCATGATTATTATTCCCTTGTTATTATTGTGACCTTTACGTTTCTCGTTTTTTTTCATATCTGTCAACTGGACAATTACCTTTCATAATTCAGACCCGTAAATTATTTTTATCCTTAGATTCTTTTCTTACCCCTTGATTATTGCGTAACCTCGTTTGATAATAAGATTCTCAAGTCAATTTATGATACAATCTTCCCTATCCTTCTATAGACATATATTTTCCATATAAGTATAAATACGAATGCATAGCTTAAGTAAATGATTTCGTCGAAAAGGAAATTTTCTTCTCTAAATTCACTTTATTTTTATTCAAATACATTAGTTTTTTTACATTACGACAACGAAAGCTAAGCAACTAAACCGTTTGGCTGAGAACTGAATAATATTGGAAGCATTTCCCTCAAAAGCATGTCTTTCATGTTCCGACATGCCTCAATGATAAATAAATATCATATAAGAACCAGAAGTAACATAGATTGTTCGTGGATGAAATAAATACACTAACGGTATAACGTTTATCCTCGTTAGCGTTTAAATAAATGTTATAAAATTAGTGTATTTATTTCATCCACGAACAGTCTGTTACTTCTAGTTCCTATGTGATATGAGATCAACAAACTGGATTCTGTAAAGATCGGTCGTGCACAGACCAAATCTCGGCGCTACGGATCATTGTTGAACAATTAATTGAATGGAACTCGTCACTATATATCAACTTCCTTGATTAAGAGGAAGAATTTGACAGCGTGGATAGGAGAACATTTAGGAACCTTCGACACTATGGTGTACCTGGGAAAATCCTCAAAATCACCCGGAATTCATACGACGGACTACACTGCAAAATGGTGCATGTAGGACAGCTGACAGACGCATTGCAAGTGAGGACTGGAGTCAGATAACGATGCTTACTCTCAACCTTTCTTTTTCAACTGGTGGTTGACTGGATTATGATGACCTTCACATATGAGAGGAAGCATGAAAACAATGGATAGTTTGCACGAAACCAAACGATTCGGACTTCTCAGATGATCTGAGTCTCCTATCTAATAAATACCAACAAATGCAGGTAAAGACAACCAGTGTAGCAGAAGCCTCTGTATCAATAGGTCTCAACATACACGATGGAAGAAGAGAGATCTGCAAATACAACACGGAGAACACCAACCCAATTAGAAAAAGATGTTGGAAGTGGATAGGACACACATTGAGGAAATCATCAAACTGCATCATGAGGCAAGCCTCAATTTGTAGTGGAAAAGAGTAAGGCCAATAACACACTGTATGAAGAATTGAAGTAGACATGAGAAGGATGAATAGGAAGTGGAAAGAATTGGAAAGGATTGTCCAGGAGAGTGTTGGATGGATAATGCTTATGTGTGGCCTATGCTACTTGACGAAGAGTTTGAAGCGTAAGTTATAACGTTTGTCAATTTTACTTATGTTATTTTGAAAATATCTTCCTTAACAAATTAATTTCCACCAGAATTTGATGTCTGATTTAGAAACGACACTTAAGTGAGATTTCACTTTGGACAGTAATTCATCGTAAAAAAAATACATTTCATTTTGAAATGTGATCTGATAATTGAAAATTTTCTCTTCTCTATGATGGAACTAAGTAAAAAGTATTTTGATCTAATGGAGTTGGATCAGCTATATACACATTGAGAATACCTTACACTATATTATAGACCAGAATTAATGATCGTGTATTGTTTGGCAAAGTCCTATGTATCCGTTTTCTCTTATTGGCCAATCACGACCTAATATCAGGTGACATATCGTTTTATTTCAAGATGCATGAAATCAATTCTAGGCACATAGATACTGAAAAATATAAAAAAAATTTATCAGTATTGACATTTTTCGAAGAAATAAATGTTTAAATGTCACCGAGTTCCGACTACATGTATTAAAAAAAAAGAACGATAATCGACCAAAATAAGGTAAAGAATACAAGAAATCAGCTTTATTGGTGAAATCCACTTAAGAAGTGAATGTCTGTATGTGTTTAATTGTAATAAAGGGAGGTTAAGCTAGCATTTTCCTCCACTTTAGACAAGTTATGAAACAACAGAAACTTAACACATTTTCTTTTTACTTAAGAAAAAACAAACAAACGAGAAATCATCTTCCGAACATTCTTTTCTAGTCTCTTTACAAACGGTAGAAGGTGTATAGAATTGTTGTTGTAGATTTCACACAAAAAATGGTATATATCACTTCACCTCTTTTATATATATTCAAGAATGTAATAAATCAAATTTCCCCCTTATTTAGATTTTTTGGGATAAATGAAGTAAGGATATTAATGGCTAAAAGATAAGTCAGTTTCTAGAAATCAATTCTAATTTAAAACGATTGTTACAGCGGATTATTTTTGTTGAATTTCATTTTGTATTGACTGAATGGTTGATATAAAGTCAATAATACACAGATTCCTTGTGAGAATTTATTACAATTGTCTTAAAGTAAAATCTTAATGTATTAGTTAGTTGTAGGAGATCTGTATGAAATATCAAGTTTCGAGTTATTCAGATACCTAGGTGAATCGTAATATGATCAATAGAATTCGAGCGAATTCATGCAGGACTATATATCATGAAATGAGTTGGGAATAAGTAATCGATGAATGTGATATTTCATTCATTTTAAGACTGACTAGTTTGATATAAACATTTCAACTAATGTTGGTGCCCAACCCCACGACATGACTCCATAAAGAATGATGATGGAGCCATGAACATAAATTCTCCGATTGATTTGGTATATTCCACTTAGAATAACGCCGTTTGAGCTACCACAGTAATAAGAAGTTAAATACCAATTAGGTTAAATGAATTTATTTCAGGCATACTTTTTCTCAGACAGACGTTATGATTTAATTAAAACGTAAGTCAACATCTATAGGAACCATAAAACGCATATGTACGATTATACACACATGCTTAAAGTCACATCTAAATGACTAAATGAATGGGAAGATTAAATTAATTCATCCGTCCAGAAGTAAGGATAAATCATGTCAATGTGTAAGAATGCTAGTTGCTGCAAATGTTTTATTTGAAGTACCACTGTAAAGCTGGGACACCCAAATCATCAACTGTGAGACCTTTATAGAATAAAATGATTATAGTGAATAACCAGTCTCTTGTCCATCATTATGTTAGATTTCAATTTTAGTATCAATCCATTCATAGTTAGGAGAAAATTTTTTTCACTGGTAGTTGTAGTTAAAGTACTTTTCTTAATATGATATACTATTCTATACTGTATCATTTCAGTTGCTCCTAAAATAACCTTGAGAAGTTTATGCTTTATTAACAATCAATGAGTGCAAAGGTAAATGAAGTTAAGACTTCACTGATAGGAAATGAGATAAGATACATTTCTGTAAATGTGCAACTCATCCATTTCCCAATCCGTTCAATAAGTATATAGTATCAAGTATTTTCAGGAAATTTCCTGTTAATTTACTGATTGAGTACTGCATGTGTGAGAATAATACCAACCAAGGATTTCATTTCAAATTCTGACTTTCCTTTTACCTGTTTTTTCATCCCTCAAACCGGGATACGCTAGAGCGGAGTCTTCATAAAATACAAGCAGATAGCATTAGATTATTGTAATGAAATCTCCAGTGACAATTATACTCCCACATACAACACTTACCCATTAAATACACGAAAAAATCCTTGAAAATTCTTGACACTGTACACTTGTTGAACACTCAAGAAAGGATGGTTATTGTCACACTGAAAAGGTACTGACCCCAAACATTCACAGAGTTTTATCCTCATTCATTCAACAGTATTTTTATTTAACGATAACGGAAATGACTTGTTTGCATTAGTCTAAAGTGCTTTAATTGATTTATAATGTTACCCTATCAATAAGTTGTTTATCTAGTGATTAATAACGAGTGATACATTTTCAAATTCATGCAGAGACCTCAAAGCTCTATCGTGAATAGTTCAACTTGTGATATTGTTGAATTCTACTGTCTGGTTCTTCTATATCATATAGTTACTGTGGTATATCAAGCCCATTATGTAAATAAAAAGACTAAAGTGAATGTGAAGATTTAATTTGCAAACCCAGTTGTCATGCTCATCTATCATAGGTATACATATAATTGAACTTCCAACCCAAACAAATGACGTATACTGTGACCCTGAATTAATGTATGATCGACTTCCTCGAATAACCTGTCTTTTTTCAAATATCTCATCTACCGTTTGATATTGAAATGGTGCATAAGTACAGGCATGTGCTTGCCCAATCCATTACAGAGATAGACGATCATGATTAGACTAATGAATAAAATATTTTTTTCTGTATTTTAGAGGTTTAGATGCCTCATAATGAAGTTTTTGATTACTGGTCACTAGGTTCATCACAACAAGACAAATCTTTTTATAATTCCTTATGCTTCAAATATTTTTTCTGGCTTATCTGTAATTACTAATATCTAATATATCTAGGAATTTTCATGACTAAACTCTTCTTCATGGTTAGTCATCTTCACAGAACTATGTTATCTGCGTAATAACGTCATATAAGAAGGTAAAAGCTGTTGAAGATAGAAATACTTAGCCTGAAACTGGATATACGATGGATTCACTCTTTTCCGATTGCAAAGTCCTCTGGTTAGAATGACATTTGGTTTAATGTTGTCTTTGAGTTTTTCTTCAAAATGTATTCCTTGTAACAGAGGGATTTATACGTCTCTTGTGAGTGACAGTTTCTTAGCTAGTCAAATGCATGTTTTTTTATTGATTGGTAAAAACAACGATTTCCTAAGTAGATCGTGTAAATTATGCTTATTTAGCTTTTCAAAATTTGATTGTATTGCAATGGATTATGTAAAACGTTTTCAATTCATGTAATAGAACTGTTGCTATTTATCTTCTGTCCTAGATTTCTTTGAATACTTGTTTCTATATTTTTCTTAATGTGTTTTTCTAATAATGAATTTCATTTTCTCTTACCCGTTCAACACTGTTGAACAATTAATTGATAAATTCCTTAAATAATTCCAGTTTTGCAATGTATATATATATGTATTACTGTGTTTTTTGATGTCAAAATACATTTTATGGTGAAGTTATTGATGTTTTCGACTGTCATTGTGGAATATCTATAGGTTCTGGGACATATTTGCAACGGTCACCACAATAAGATGGAATTATCAAGACAAATTTCAAAGTATTTGAAGTATTAACAATATCGGTGAAAGTGTAATAAATTAATAGCATAGACGATATGATTTGAAAAGAAATAATGAACTCCTGAAACATAAAAAATATATTATTATACTCAAACTCAAGATCTAAGGAAAGACAAGGACTAGATTAATGAACGTCACAAACGAATGATGATATCACGTTGACTTCAATCAAGTACTCTGTATTTATTTTAGTGGTTCAATCTAACAGTAATCAATTTAATGGAGTGATTAAACATCTTGATTTGCCTTTTAGCTTATTACCGACTTATGTATGAAATTTTGATGACAGTTAGTATTGCCTGAAGTTAAGGTTATAAAAAGTATGACTATTTATCACGTTTATCCAGATAAAAAGATTCAGTTTACGAGTATTCTAGTGTTTACTTACTTAATTACGCCTGTAACCCCTCTTCGAGGAGCATAGACCACACATAAGCATTATCCATCCAACACTCTCCTGGACAATCCTTTCCAATTCTTTCCACTTCCTATTCATCCTTCTCATGTCTACTTTCAATTCTCATACAGTGTGTTATTTGGCCCTACTCTTTTCCACTCCACTTCACGATTCCAAGTTGAGGCTTGCCTCACGATTCAGTTTGATGATTTCCTCAATGTGTGTCCTATCCACTTCCAACATCTTTTTCTAATTTCCCCCTCATCTGCAACCTGGTTTGTTCTCTGCCACAGCAGGTTGTTGTTGATGGTATCCGATAAACAGATATTGAGTATTTTGCGTGGACAACTATTTATAAATTCCTGTAGCTTTTTGATGATGATTGTGGTAGTTTTCGAAATTTTAACTCCATATAGCAGAACTCACTGTCTTGATGTTCGTATTGGAGATTGTGACTTTGATATTAGTTGACAGTTATTTTGATTTCGATATGTTCTTGGATTGTATGAATGATAATTTTGATTTGCCAACCCTTGCCTTTACGTGTGTATCAGATCCTCCTTGTTCATTGATGACGCTAGCCAGTTACTTGAAGTTTTCCACATATTCCAGATTTTCTTCATCAAGTGTGACTATATTGATGATTCTACTGTTTAACCATATATTATTACTAATAAATATAATTAAATTTGAATATAAATTTTATATCAGATTTTTTAAGAATCACTTTATACTTTACTTTCTTTTGTTTGTTGTTCAATTTCAGAGTGCAATTATTACAAATCTTATTCAAACTGTTTATATTATATATCCATATTGGACATTTAATACAAGTTATGCATATACATCTAGTTTAGGTATAACAACAATTAATAATACAAAACAAATTTGTATGTGTCTTAATATTAATACTACTGATAATAATACTGATAATGATGTTGATAATATTGATGATGAAGAAGAAGATCATTGTAAAACTCGTAACCAAGATAATCCTTTAAATGATTTTATATTATCATCAAATCAATGTCCTAAAACATGGTTATATCATTATATTGAATTAAATTCATTAACAGCATCAAATATTTTACGTTATTCAAATTATTGGTCATTAAATAAATTATTAAATTTAAATTTAATAAATCATTCTAAACCAATGACATTGGATCACCAAGGAAATCAACCAAATCCTCCTCCTCCTCCTCCTCCTGATCATCATCATCGTGATGATTATTTACCATTAATACTTGATATTGATGAAGATTTTTTTGGTGTACATCTAGTTACACATAATTTATTAAAATCTGGTTTAAATATAAATTTTATTCATACAATGAATTCAATTATTTCATTAATATTTTGTCCAATTCATTATATTAATGAAATACATATTGATCAAATTTATCGTTGGTTAATTGAACACATTTATATGAATATACATTTAAGAAATAATTATAAATCAATAATCGATCATAATCAATTAATGATGATCTTAAAGAAAACCAATAAACTCTTCAAATCACTGATATATTTTGTCATAATTATACATTATATTTAATAAAATTAAATGAATTATTTATCAATAATACAATTACATATCATCAAATTGATGTATTAAAATATGTTGGTGTTTGTTTTACTAATTCATTAATAACTTATCAATATATACCAGAAATACATTTATGTTTAGGGCATAATTTACCTAATCAATCATTAGTAGATGAATTTTTACCAATATCAAATGATTTATTAAAATTAGCCATACATTTTACACAAATTTTATTAACAATCCCATATCAACCAAATATAGTTACTATAGCTCGGTCATCACGTGATGGTTATACACCTAGATGGTTACAATATGATATTGAATTGATGATATTAAATATATTAAAAAAAGTATTTCATTTAACTGAAAAGAATATAATTTATACAAATCATTTAGCTGGTGATAAATATTATGGTTGGTATCATCGATTTACATAGAAAAATGAAAATCAATAAAATACATATGCCAATAACAAACTGATCAATTTCAGTCTTAAACTTCAATAGGAAGATACAAGCCAAACAATACCAAGTGAATACATATGTAATTTTTAAGAAAAAATGTAACAATAGACGATTTATAAACATGTAAATACATCGTAATTGAATAATGCTTTCGTCAGAAATTTTCAATGGTTGAGAAATCTTTTAAAAAATAGTATTAGATGGTTTTGTGGAGATTTTAGTAATTTCAATGGTTAAGATCATGAGTCAGTTGAAGCTAGACCACCATGGGAAACCTGGAAACACTGGACGGCCGTTTAGTCCTATTGTGGGACATAGTAGAAGTGGTTTTGTGGAGATTTCAGTAATTTTTATAAGTTGAATTTATAAATCAACTGAAGCTAGATCAATATGGATAACCTGGAAGCACTGGACCACCGTTTTGTTGTAGTATGCGATTCCTCAACAGTGCATATCCACAATCTCGCTCGCACGATTCTGACTCAGGATCTATCAGTCTAGCGTGTGGACGCTTAACCTCTAAACCACTGAGTCGGCCGATATCCAACGGTGTTGAGGTGTTCCATACTAGGACGAAACGGTCATCCAGTGCTTCTAGGTTTTCCATTGTGGTCTAGCTTCAATTGACTCATGAGTTCAACTTTGTGACTTTCCGGTATAAAACATTGATAAATATTTGTACAATCGAATAGAAGAACTATGGGTAAACATTATACCATTTGGTCAACAAATAAGAGTTTACTGATTTAAATTTTGAGTCATATTACTTTCATAATCTATAGTAATTGTCACTTAATGTTATCAGTGAATTATCTCACTTCAGACATGGTTATAACTTAGAAGTTTATTGTATTGAAACAAGTCAATAAATGATAATTATAAGGATGATTTGTATAATGACTATTGTATAATTTGATGTTGATTTTTAATATTAACTGATATCAGCCGTTTTCAATGACTGTTAAGTTGAGCTCAGGTGACTGACTAAGATTACCATCAAGTTATTTTTGTTATTAGAAAATAAAGGTTTAAGTTTTGTAGTAATTTTTAGTCGTTTAAAAGTTTTGTTTTGTACCGTCTATAATTCTTTGAATAAAATTAAAACAATTGTGGTTTAAATTTATTATTTACACCAGCCCATACAATAATGACCAATTTTTTACACCATCCGCCGCTGTATTCCTCAAACCTGTCACATGACATTATTCATAATTTTAAAAAAATGGATATAAAAGCCAATAGTTTGTTCGGTAGTTATCTTTTAATCAACAATGAGCTCTAGTAATCATGTTATCACTAATCAGATCGAAGTTCGAACATGGTTACAAACAGAGATAATTTATTTCTTAACATTCTATATGCACCTAAACATACTAAGTACATATTTTGATCACAGTTAAACTAATTACTACTTTTTTTTTCAAAATTTAACTTTAAGGATAAAGAAAAATTCAATCGTTTTAATGTCAGCCTGATTCTTCAATAAATATCGTTTTTAAAATTAAGGAAACTAAATTTCCTTTGTCCGTCAGAACCACAATTAATGTAATACAATTGAAATAAAGAAATATATTTCACATGTTTGAACACTTAGTGCATTTGTATCTGCATTGATCTTCTTAAAGAAATATGTATTCAGCACAATTAAACAGCGATATTAATAAGACGACTGAAAATGTACCAGGTTTTGTACTACCACGATTCTACTAGAATAAATTATACAAAGGTGTATAAAACTTCCATGTGGATTGAACTTAAACATAAACGCTATGTTTACAATTATATCGCATTCGTCAGTCATCCGATTCATAGAGAACTATATATGGTTCATAGAAGTTTGACTAACTTATTACACGAATGAGAAGACTTGGAATGACTAGGAAGTTTTGGCTGATAAACGAGAAAAATGTACACAAATCGTGGGTATACATATATTTACCATTTTGACTAAGCGTATGATCGGCCTCAGCCAGCCACTTGATTTTAAGATGGTAAGTGGCCACAGTTTGGACTCGTTCAGTCTATGTAGAAAACAAACAGTATCCCTATTACTGAATGTTGAAAAAAATGAAATAGTTGATAATATGTGAATCTACCTATTCATTAAAAAGTGAGCTTTATTCAGTCGCCAGTTATTTGGTTCTTAAATTCTAATCTACCTAAATAGCTACTACCTAATTATATTTATCGCTGAGCCTGTATCCAATGGTGTTAATATTTAGCTTCAAAAGTGTTTATAAGTTATCGATGGTGTTTTAACTTAGATAAGTTTTTGATTTCAATGAAATTCAACAATATCAACAACTGAAATACTGATAATTATCATGTGCTCACTAGTGACTGGATTCAGAGTTCTAGTCAAAAGCCGTAACCAGTAGAATCAAACCGTGTCAATTATGAGGCAGTTATCCACTGAAGACAATTAATGATTGTCAAGAAGCGTCATGGATTGATTAAAATTAGACATCAACACTGACTTAGTTTATAGGTTAAAAATTCACGTGCAATACTAGAGGTCCTGTATTCGATTCCAATGTACGGAATCGTGAATGTACACTACTGAGTAATCCCATAGTCGAATAAAACGACCGTTTAATTCCTCCAGGTTTTTAATGCTGGTCTAACTTAGACCGGTTTATGATTTCAATTGAATTTATTCTTTGTCTTAATGGTTGTTATTGAAAGCTTGATTCATTGTTAAATATGTTCTTTCTTTAATTTAAACAGACATTAGCATTTGCTAACGATTTCTTTTTGGAATAAATTTAATCCTTTAAATAAACAAAAAAGTAGTATTTTACCCAAGTAAATAAATATTTCGCTTACTTTATCCTGTATAAATAATTCATCAAGAAATCAGTTAATATCATAAGTATATACTAATAATTACTGTTTTTTATTATTTATTTTATTTAAACATATAAACATTGGTACAAGAAGGCACCAAATAGATATGTGCCACATAAATCATTCGATTTGTGTGAGAGCTGGGATACTACCCGGGTGCCCAGACCGAAACAGGTAGTTTTCTTAGGAAGCCACACCCTGAGCCTTGGTCCTAAAGGTCTGACCTACAAGGAAATGGAGCATTGTGAGGAGATGCAGTCCCATGGAAGCCAGTGACCAAGAAATTGGTTCATACGCCAGTTTTTCCCACAGGATACTGGAGCCCATATGCACCATTGATTTGGTTTGGGATCCGGTTAAAGCTCCGGACATTCGCTTTTCGTCCTCTCATTTTCGTAAACATCACCCCCGCCACGAGAAGGCAGTGAGTAGGACTTCCGTGGCAGAGGCTGTATACGCGTGGCCATGTGAGAGCGTTTCGAGAGGGAGGGCTGGACCACCCCACTCTCGGCCATACCAGGGCATTTGGGGGCAATTACTATGTAACAAGGCATTAATTTAGAATTAGAACTTTTCAAAAACGAATTCACTTCCAATGGTTTTATTGACATTCATAGCATAATCTGAACAGAAAAGAAAGTAAATGCAGACGCACACACACACACATAAACAAATATACATACATATGAAACTTGTATTATTGAAATCCAGTTGAAAATGTAAAAATTTGATAAAACTTTGAGAACTGAAAGAAAACAACAAAAAAGAGACACCAATAAATAGTTAGTTGACAATAAGAATCAAAGAGAAAGCAACATCATTGTTAAGAGATATGATTAGGTCAGGTAAACAATTAGTAATAATAATAGTCATGTTAAATATCACAATAAAATATGCAGAGGAATTTTACAGTTGACAACTGTAAATTAAAGTTTATTCAACTGAATGAATAACACCAAGATGACTTGTAAATATAAAAAACATAATTCTATATAAAATAATAATAATAATAATGTACAACATAAGCCTTCAAGTGTATTTTCCTAAGGAATGAAATATTTAAGACATTAATTACTCTCTCTCTCTCTCTATTTATTGCACAATTATAATGAAATGATTAAAAGATGAAAGAAGTTTAAATATACAGATAAACAATCATTAATCCATTTAAATAAATGCAATAATCATAGTGATTAAACGTTGTCAATAATGAATGAATGAAACAATAATAATAATAATAATAAACAATAATTGTTTATTTATTTATTTTTTAGAACCATAATTGAACTAACCTCATTTTCGGATCGAATCCCACCAATATTAATCTGTTATATATGCATATATATATATATTCATATTTCCTCATAACTTTATTATTACTATGATACACATATTTTATTAATATTTGAATGGAAACGTATTATATTTGAATGGACAGATAACATTCCATTAAGATATAAATAGAATTAAAGAGAAGTAATTCTTCAATTGAAACTATAATTTGATAGGTTCATGATTATGATATGCAGTTGTAGACATTTCAGAATTATAAATCATACTTTTGTTAGATTAAGTGAGGTTTTTTTCATTCCAAATGATCACTGAATTCTAATGGTTAATGAATTCAAAAAGTAAAAATAAAATGAATTGTAAGAAAAACAACAAATTACATGGAAATAATAAATAAAATGAAAAGATTTATAGGCTAACGAATACTTATACTCATTCTAGAAAATTTGTGGAGACGTTACGATTTTATAATGAACAGATGTTTTCCACAGTGTGGGACTACTTAGCGGTGACCATCGACAATCTTAGTATTAAGAGCAGAACTTAAGATCTTTGCTTCCACGCCTGAACGCTTAACTATTCGATCACTGAGCTGGCATCCTATGGTTTATATATTTAACTTTCATCAATTTATAATGTTGCGCAACTATCTGTCAATGTACTTAGACACAGTTGAACTCCATTTTCCATTAGAACTTCGAAATTACTTCTCGAAGTTAGTCACCAGTGGGCATTTTCTGAATGCTTACTGTTCAAGAATCTTATAACAGAACGAAACATTTGTTCAATATATTCACAGTTACAATGGTTACAATGGTATTAACTATGAAATAAATAACTATCAGCTACTACATACAATGAATTTCGTATAGAGAAATAAGTTTAAACTTGGAGACTAAACAAATTATTGAACCTTATTAATAACAACAAATAAATCAATAAATATTCCCAAAATTTAAGCTGGATCTAAATCTGTAATTTTGTGTTGAATAAATTCTGTAGATTAGTCCAAAGACAAAAGAATTGAAATTAAAATAACCAATATATACAATGACATGGAATGAAATTTCATTTCTTAAAGATTAAATTTAGATTATTTACAAATATTCATAATATTTTTTTTTCTAATGACATTCTTTAAATCAGTTTATGTCAACTAACAATTAATTTCTTTCATCAATGGAAGCATAAATTAATTTAAACCTGGGAAGCATCATTGATAAACAAGGAGGATCTGATGCGGACGTGAGGGCGAGGATTGGCAAAGCAAGGACCGCATTCCTACAATTGAAGAACATATGGAACTCAAAACAACTATCAACCAATATCAAAGTCTGAATCTTCAATATGAACGTCAAGACAGTTCTACTGTACGGAACTGAAACTTGGAGAACTACTACAACCATCATCAAGAAGGTACAACTATTTATAAATAGTTGTCTACTCAAGATACTCAGTGTCTCTCGGTCTACTGTGGGAGAGGACAAACCAGCTTCCAGATTAACAGGAAATTAGGAAATAACGATGAAAATGGATAGGACACACTGAGGAAATCATCAAACTGCATCACGAGGCAAGCCCTGGCTTTGAATCCTGAAGGGAAACGGAAAAGAGGAAGGCCAAATCTTATAAAATAAAATTATTACACAAATCATTCTCAATTAATTGAATCTTAGAATTCAAATATATAGGAATTATGTCTTACAAATCATATTTCAATTCCAGTAGATCAATAAAACTCTAACTAGTTCCATGCTTTATCGAGCTTCTGCTCAACAAATAGTTATCGGGTAAAAGTAATCAACTGAAGAACGTTTGAAAATTACATTGAATTATAGATAGAATTTCTCCCGAATTGGCTCGGTTACCTAAGAGTATACAATTGCTTTTTGCCTAGTATAAGATTCCGAAGTATTGATTTCTCATGGCCATACCAGAGACTAAATACAGTATCATCAATTTTTGAGGCTAATACCTTAACTTTTGGTTATACAGTTAGAGTTTAGTTCTCCCTTAATTTAAGAATACAGCACGATAGTCATCCATCTAATAGCTGGGAGGCGAAATAACACACTACATCGAGAATTGGAAGCAGATATGAAAAGGATGAATAACAACTAGAAAGATCTGGAAATGATTGCCCAGGACAGAGTTGGATGAAGAGTGCTGATGGACAACCTATGCTCCTCCACGAGGAGTGACAGGTCTAAGTAGGTAAGTAAGTGAATCTTATTTAATTACTGTGGTAAACAATGAAAACTCTTATATGACATGAAACATTATATATTTATTTGATCTAATTGTTAACATTGAACTTCCTCTAATTACTCTATACTATTCGGATTACAAACGTATTATTTCAAGTGAAAATGAATTAGCATCAGAAGGAGATTTTTGTGGACATTACAGTAATTTCAATAGTTGAAATCATGAGCCAATTAAAGCTAGACCAACATGGAAAACCTGGAAGCACTGTTCGAATCTCACGAGGGAAGATCGTGGATGAGCACTAATGAGGAGCCCCACAATAGGACGAAACGGCCGCCCACTGCTTCCAGGTTTTCCATGGTGGTCTAGTTCCAATTGACTCATGATCTCAACTGTTGAAATGAAAATGAATTAATTAACCAAATTAATCGGTTAAAGTATTTTAATAAAATTCATATTATTAATAGTAAGGATTTGAATTATCCTATCGTTCATAATGAAGATCAAATTTTGATCAGTTTTTGTTGGGATATCTGCATTCTTTTCGGATTGACTCGATATAATAATTTGATTACACGTTTTAAATTGAAAGGTACTGAGTTCAAGTCTCAACATGGACACTAGAATGCAGGCACGTTAGACTGATACGTCCCATATAGAATGAAGCATACATCTTAGATTCACTCTTAGTAATAATCCATCAATTTTATTATAAAGACATAATATCAGTAAAATTAAATGGAGCTTACTTTTTCTTCCACGTACAGTATATATTTATAACATTAAGCAAGTGTTTGATGATTACTCCTTATTTTAATTCGTTTATCTTCATCGTTATTTCCAGTATCAGAATCCCAAAAATAATCATCATCAGCATTTAAATCATGTTCATTTGATAATTTTTGTACATTGACCACCATAGCGTCAACTTCAGCATCTATTGAATCTTGAATTAAACTAGAATTTGAATAACCACCGGTCACTTGATTATTTATGTTGGCTTTTGTTAAATCATGATTATTATTATCATTGCCATGATTATCCGTAGCAGCAGTACTAGTAGTAGTATTAGCGGTATGTTTATCCTTCATATGATTAATTTTTTGATTACATAAACGTATATAAGGTATCGGTCCACGAGTATGCAAATTATATGATGAATTGGATGATGTTGATGAAATGGTTATAGATGCAGGATTAATTACTTTCATCATTTCAACTTGATCTCCATCTACATCTATGTCTAGTAGACGTGAACGACCGAATGAAGCTACAGTCTCCGTTGTATCATTATTTAGCCCATAACGAATTCTTTGTCGACGACAATAACGGAAAAATGCAAATACTATGACTAAACTTAATAATTCAAGTGAAACACCAAGTAAAGGCCACCAAACAGATGACCAAACTGTTAAAAATAAAATAATTTTGAATAATACTGATTATCATCAACTAAAGGAAATAATAACTTATGTTAATTATTATCGAATAACAAAAATTTGCTAGAAAGAAATTCTCAGTCACTATGCACTGCTGGAGAATCCCGTAGTAAGACGAAACCGTCTTTCAGTGCTTCCAAGTTTCCATCAATGATTTGACTTATCGGTTCATGATTCCAACGAAATTCAATAATCCCCACAACTCCTTACTTACTGTTTTAGAAGATGGCTACACTTCATCACTGATGGTGACAGAAGTTGAATAAAAGCTAGGGACAATCAAAACAAGATATGACATGTTAGTGGGTGTGAACTATATGGTTAGGGTCCGCGTGATAACAGCGATTAGTGGTTGAACAGTTTCGGTGATAAGTGGCTAATAATTGGTTATGCAGACGAACTTACTCTTTATCTTTCCTTTTGATCTATAGAACCAGTATCCATTCTGAATTACCCATTCACTTTATTTATTTGAATGATATTCTTAAAGTTTAGTCTTCTTAATTTTCACTGCTTATATATATATATATAAACGAGAATGGAAGGAGGTAGGTTTAAGTCCCAGTGTGAATATCATCAAGGGTCCAGACACATTTAGTTGACGAATTTCAAATAGGATGAAACACATGTTCTGAATTCCACTTCTCATTAGCGTCCAGTTTTATTAAAATTTATATTAAGCGGCATTATCGATACCATCAGCTCATAATGCTTATGCGCCAATAGAGACTGATCAAATGCTATCCTTAATATTGACTGTCGGAAAACTCAAAATCATCATATATATATATATATATATATATATATATATATATATATATATAATATATATATATATATAATATATATATATATATATATATATATATATATATATATATATATATATATATATATATATATATATTGATATTCACACTGGGACTTGGACCTCTTACTTTTTATTTCAAACACTAATTATATCACCCACTAAACGGTTGAAAGATAGCAAAATTTTATTTATATTTAAGAACATAAACGTCGGTAAATAGGTAACAAAATATATATATGCGCCACACAAAGTTGTTAACATTCAAGTTGTGCGTGGGCTCGGATACCGTTCGCGTTCCCAAATTGAAAGAGGTGGTTTTCTTAGAGGGCCACTTCCCTGACCTCCGGCCAACAGATCTGATCCACAAAGCAGTGGAGTAACGCTAGGAAGTATGGTCCAATAATAACTTGCGAACAAGAACAAGTTCATGCACCGTTTGTTCCATCAGGATCTTGGAGCTCATGTGGACTGTTGGCTGAGTTCCCCAAATCCTTCAAGTAGATTTCCAATACCCACTAAACCTGTTTAAGCGCCGGATATTCGCTTTATATCCTCTCGATTTCGTAAATAACACTTCACGAGAGGGAAATGAGTAGAAATTCCTGACAGTAACTATATACGCGTGGCCATATTAGAGCATTCCGAGAGGAAAAGCGGACTATCCTTACCTTCGACAGTACCAGGGCATTTGGGGAAGATGAACAACTTTACTCAATATCATCTGCTGTATTATGATTATACAATTATGGAAAAAGTCATATTTTCGGATTAAGGGCAGTCAATAATAATCTTCCTGTTTGTTTGCTTTTACTGAATTCCATTATTGTCAGTATTAAGATTAAGATCGCTTAGTTAAGTCGTCTAAACCGCTTAGGTTTTGAATTGAACGTAATCCCATATAACTGAAACTAAAAGTGCCTGATCAATACGCACTCTTATCCCCATGTAAATGCTTATTTAGTTCATATGAATACAGTCACTCGTTTGATTAGGCGTATATACGTAAATACCAATCTAATATATTCGCAATTAATTTCTTTATTACCAATTAGTGCTTACTAGTGATAAGTATTACTATCTACGGCTTCTGCAAAAATGGATTTTCTAACCAAATTATTTTAGGCTATCTAAGATAGCCGCCTTGATTGGTAAGCCAATTCTTTTCATACAAAGATGATTATTGAATTTGGGAAGTTGGTAGAAATATAAGCTTTGAAACAGCACTGTCAATGTAACTGCTGTGTCCTACGTTCTGATTCAGTTACGATAAACAATTCCTATGGTATACCTAGCCCAGTGTAGAAACGTGATGACCGAAAAGAGTAGGAGAAGCTAATTTCCAAGCAGAATTCAAATATAAACAAATCATAGATGTATCTACATTTGTCCTTCTGATCAACTCCCTCTAGTAGTGTATTTCAAAACTCGGTTCATTCTAATGTTCTCTGAACTAGAAAACTTATCGCTCACCAGGCTTCAGTTTTACTTAATATCAAATTTTGTAATTGACTACTGTATCGATAAATGATATACAACTGTCAATACTCCAGCATAGTAGCTACACAACTAGGTATAAAAATACCAAGGTAATAATTCTATGACTGACCGATGTAGTATAAATTTATTGTGATATACAACGCGGCAGTTTTCTATTACGACAAACTACTCAGGAATTACACATCAAACTTAGTGCATAAAATTTAAAACCCAATCTAGTCTAAAGGAAAAATAACTTTTCTTATTTTCGTGATGAGTAATTTATGAACTTACATTGTAATTTGTGAATATAACGTTTTAAGAAATACTCTGAAACCATCTTGAACGGAACGTTAAACATTGTGAAAATTTATAGACTATCATTGAAAAAGCCCAGACGAGGAAGTCAGTTACATATATATAACCATTATTTATTGGATACAGATTGAATTCTCATCTATAAATATCATTACTTATAAATTTTTATTAGCAAATAAGGTTTAGTACATGTTAGCTATTGCATTACCTCACACCGATTTGATTAAAATGCTACTTATTGAGAGAAATTAAGATAAGTATTAGAGTTCTTAAGATGAACAATGTTGGATAGTTGTTTAAATCTACATGACAACAGCTTTCTGTCCTCACAGTTATGATGTAAACAGAATTATTATGCTATAAGGCAGAAACAGTTTCTTTTCTAATCATGCTTTAATTTTACAGAGATAGATAGAAGTGACTAACATTATCTTTGTTAAGTATCAAATTTAGCATACTATGAATATATGTATGCTAGAAATGTATTGCTGGAAACGTTTAATTATTAAACTGCTATTAGGTTTTATTAGATCCATGAGAATAGTCTGTTTAAATGATAATTATCACTTAAAACAAATTGCGTATTACATAGAATATAATTTACGTCATTATTCTGAATACTTACTTGAATATCCATAATTTTCAACAGGACCAGGCCACCACGTTGTTGTCTCTCCAATGTCATTTTTAGCCCAACACCAAAATAGAATGGGGCCAGATTTAGCTAGATCAGAACTCTTCACTTCATTATCAATAGTAGCTAATCTACGCCTACGCTCTAATACTTGCCATGGTCCATATCCGTCTGTTTCACCATCGTTTAATAACATCGAAAAATCAGAAAGTACATTTGCTTTGCCCACTTCTTGCACTCGTCTTATAATGTAACCTGCCCATTGTGGTTGTGTCCATGCCCAAGCAAAATTTTTAGATTTTACTAACGGATAAGCTACAACAATTTCACAAGCATTTGTCCAATTTGAATTATTTTCATGAACTGATAATTGACATGGACTACTCATACACGTATAACGACCAGATGAATTAGACGGAGGTAACGGTGGGGGATCATAAATCAGACGTAAAATGGGAGGTACTAAAATTGAAAAAAAGTTAAAAAACAACAATTAGTAGTATACAAGGAAAATACATGGAAGAGTTGTTTATCATAAGAGGAGAAAAGAGTGAAACCATTTGTCTACTGTCAAATGATTATTTATGAATTATGGTTCTAATAAAAATATCGTCAATGAGCGTATCTCATATTGAATAAACAAGAGGTCTTGGTATTAACTGACTTTTGCACCTATTATTAAACTTTGGTGGGTAACCATTTGCTATTAATGTGTCAGACAGTAACTTTTCATCATATCCAACCGTGTCAGCAGCGCAAATTCTTTGAGTCCTCTTAAAGAGACACTTGATCAAGCCTCCTTGTATTGCAATGGACAGAAACTATGGAAATTTAAGTATTGTGCCGTCTAAGTTGGTTTCCTATACACTGACCGTCTTATAGTACCATCCTCCCTTCGAATTAAAAGTATGTCTAAAAAAGGTCAACTGGCCGTTATTTTCTGCTTCATAGGTCAACACGATATCGTTTTGAACCCCATTGAGTTTATCTAGTAACCGGGAGACTTCGTAATTTTTTTCACATATAATTAGTATATCATCCATATATCTTCTATATAAAGTTGCCTCGCTAATAAGCTCACTCACCATATTTCCACATATGACATAAATACATCAGCTAAGAGAGGCCCCCAAAGAGCTACCGATAGGTACACCATCAACTTGTCGAAAATATTCTCCATCAAACGTGAACTGAACATTGGCAATGCATAATAAAAGTATCTCATATCAAATCAAATTCTACATACATGTAAGTTTAAAGGAAGAGTTCGATCTTAGTTTATAACCGTGTCAATTAATGAATACAGTTTAACTGTGACACACCAATACTATGAATTCAAGTTCATGATTCTTTAATTTTCATTAGCAATTTATATTTCAAGCTTAAAAGTTATCTTGCTAACACTTAGAGGTAATCACTAATTCTCTGTCAGTAACTTAAACATTAAGCTGTTGTAAATACCAATATTCAGTGGCAATATTTTTAAATGTTTTGATAGTGTAACAAGAAAACGAAAATTATCAGAATTATGTCATGCTATATTGGCTCAATGCATTACGGACAATCTGATCACATATATACATGTTAAAACATTTATATATAGAAATAAACGGTCAACTAGACTAGAAATGGAGGACAAGAGGAGACAAAGATAATAAAGAAGTAATGTGAAAACAATTTGAAACCTCATCACTCTGGATAATAAGTTAATATTACCAGGATAGGTTTAAGGTGAGACTAAACTGTTTTTGAATGTATAGAGGAGGTATGAATTTTCGTATGGCTAAGGCTTAAGTAAACCTTACTTTACGCCATTTTACATCTTTGTGCAACACCATAAAAGCCGAGCAAAGATTAATCATATGACCTGTATCCTCTTACCCTCCATTTCTAGTCTAGTTGACCGTTTATTTTTATATATAAGTGTTCTTAACAAGTATATGTGTGGTCAGATTGTTCGTAATGTATTGCGTTAATATATCATCACATAATCTTCGTTTTCGTATTACACCATCGAAATTTATCAAGGGACTAATTGCCTTAAATTTTTAAATGTTGTTATGAAAAGTCCCAGATAGATTCAATTTAACAGCTTCACTCCTACCTAGTTCCAATAAATTTACTATCACTGTTCACAATCAAAATATTGTTCAACATTATTCACAGACTATAGTTAGTGCTGATAACCAAAACACAAGACCAATACGTCTATTTTGGTCTAATAATGTTATCGAATAGCAGACCAATCGCTAGTGAAAAATTTCAATAATTGAGAATAAAGGGTATCCCCATTTTTGTTTTCATTTCAATGATACTAGAGATAGACTGTTTAACGGAGATTCAGCAATATTCTTTGATATATTATGAAAAATACCGAGACTGGACTATGTGTTATTTCAAGTAATAATGCATCGGAAGTTCAACTATATTATTTCAAATCATTCAGGGTGAGACGAAAATCATTTTTACCAAAGGGAATTCGAGGAGATTGGTTTATCAGATACTGATCTTAGTTGAATAATCATTGAAACCACCCTGGTGTAGGACTTCTTCAGAAATCCTCACTCATGACTCTGCTGGAGATCGAATCTACGACATTCGGTTCTCACTGTGAGAGCTTAGTCTTTAAACCGCTAAATCCTAAGGAAATTATATACACCTAAATCTTCAACCAATTTCCAATATTAATTAATCATCTAATATTATTGGAGGGTAACTCCCTAATATCAGATACATTTGAACAGCACTCATTACATTCACTTGGTGTTGTTTTATTTGTACCTTCCGATTGTTATTTAGGATTGCAATTGATAACAATAGAAAGATATAAGCAAAACAACATCAAGTGAATTTAAACTTCACCCCATTGCACAAGCAGGTGGCTATCAGGACTCACTAGCTAAGTGGAGAACGCGATGGAGTTTGAAGCGAACGGAACTGAGTTTGAGTCCCAGAGTGAAAATCAACTCTTGGATGCAAGTACATCCAGCTGACATGCCTTAAATAGGACGAAACGGGCATCCTGAATTCTACTGTTAGTCACTATCTATTTTCGCTTAAAAAGCACCCATTATAGTTTTTTTTTAATAAAAATTTAGGAATCACCTCCAAAAATTATCGTTAGTATGAGGGATTTGCAAAAACATTCAGTTAGGCTGTTGTGTTTTCCTTTTTTACATATAATGAAACTGAATATTCAGTTAATCATATAAAAATAAATTATTTAAACAACTATTCACAGATATTGTATGAAAATTTCACATACATTTGCTTAATAAATGTAATAAATGTAATTATATCTGAAGAAAAAGAACATATTTACATGGTGATCAACTTAATGCAATGATGATTACCATTTAAATGAACTGTTGCTACAGCATATTCTGACTTTGAAAAACTAAATAAACACTGATACTGACCAAATATTCGTTGATCAAGGACTGAAATGTTGATAAATAAAAACATTTAAAAAATATTGTTAATCTTCAAAGAAGTGCACTTTTGAAATATTATTACTATCAACTTCCAAAGATAAACTAGTTATTATTATCATTTTAACCAGTACTAAGTAAGGGTTTAAACTTTCATCAATCAAAAAATTAATTTTTCTCAGTTTAACTAAATTGAGAAACAATATGTATTTCACCAAAGTGATGGTACTCTAAAGCTCCTTGAATATAAAGCTGATTTAGCTTAAGGTTACTGAAGGTATATAAATATATATGCAACTGCAGGTAGTTTGATAAACACCTGAGTAAACAACTTTATAAATACCTCACTCACACAGGTTAGCTGTAGTCTGAATTGCTCATTGGTTACTTTTTGGGCTGCGAAGTTGAGTGATCCGGGTTAGAAACCTCCAGAAAACATCAATTACTACAAGATCGCAAATATGCCTTGGTGACTAGTGCCGATCAGAGCAAAAACTAAGCTCACAGTTCCCACCAACTAACTTAAATCAAAGTAAACTTTCATAGATGACCTATGAGAGGTAATATTTAGTTGACTGATGATTTATCCAGTGTAAAATATCATGCAATGGGATCATAATGGTTGTTTTTGAATTAATACAGCCTGTATAAATACATAATGAATAAGTTTATGTGTCCTGTCAGAGTGAGATGTCGTTGAATCCACTTAGGTCTTCTCTGCACTATTTGTGAGGGAATTCAGATAATTTTCGATGACTGATATTCATGTAAAGTTCTTCAGTTAGATCCGTGAATCATGATTTAAGGTGTATGATTGAGAGGCCGCAAAAGCATCAACTCTTTAATGTTTATATTATACTAAAGTTGATAAGTGAACTCTTTCTACCACTCTAATAATTGTAAAACCCGATCGTGAAGAAATTATACATTCTTAGTTTGTAGCTAATGCTGCATAAATCCTCAAAACTGCCTACTAATTAACTTACAGTAGGTCTCATATGTCGACCGACCCTGTTGAATCGATGTGTAAAGTATAATCAGACGAAGTATTGGTGTGGACAAATTGTGTGCCCAAATACAACTACGTAACGAAAATATGTCGTTTATGACTCGAAGTGGGTCAAAAGTTGTTTCCAAAGCAATACAGTCTAAGCTCTTATCTTCTAACGATTCGTAAAATACTGCTCCCTATTGTCATGTTCTAAAAAACGTAAGGGTAAATAGAAAACCTAACTACCTGTGTTCCCTGTCGTAGTAGTAACTTATCTGTTTACTGAAAATAAAGTTCAAACAACAAACGCATTTGAACTGTATTTGATTATTATTATTAAAATCAACAAAATGGAGTTATTTGCTGACTAGACGTTCTAAAACATAAAATAATGACTATTCTATATCTACTAATAAGTTGCCATATGGCAAAGCATTTTTTAGGTTTTTATGCTGACCTTTATGTCAATGAATTTGAACTTACGCGGCAAATTAAGTCGAAGACGGGCTCTAATGGCCCTAATTGATGGGTCTCTTGTTGTTATCCGGGAATAAACTTGGTTTATTTGGCTATGGTTAACTGACCAATCACCAAAAAGGCCTCCTTTCCAAGTGACAGTGACAATATCTAATAACTTTACACTCCCAACAACACATGTACATGACATCCAATTGCGATCCATATCTAGAAATGTATTATCATCCAGCTGTCTTCTTGTGAAGTTAAAGTTTCCTATTTTATCTAGATATTCTATTGTTGGCACAGTGACATCATTTGTCCCAATAACTAAAATTGAAGAAAGGAGACATTATTTGACAAGTGTATTAATCTTGTTCAGGTGTGTGTATACTTTTACAACCTATGGATTCATCTAGAAATCGGAAGGCAAGAGAATTATGATTGCACTGACAAATGAATAAAAAAACATGAATTTATCTCCTAATATTCAAATACTTGGCGTGCAGACACTTCGGTGTTTAGTTATTACAAAACAGACGATCTAGAAAGTTTGGGGCAATTTCAAAACCACATTTGGAAATGTTGTGAACCCCTTTAAACCATGACTAATCGCAAGTAGGCTATAGAATCACACTCCATGGATGTATAGACGATTCCAACGACTTGTCAAGCGTAGAAAACACTTTCAGAACCTTTTATTAAAAAGTAATCATGAAGCTTTCAAGTAAATGTGGCGGTAAGTCAGAAATAGATATAAAACCGCCACTGTATGATCTAGCGTTACCTACAACAGGCAGTCAGTACAATTTAGATTTGAATCCACAGCATCACTACACGTAGATCTTCCAAAGTTACGCCATGGATGACAGAAAAGCTTCCCACACGTTAAATAAAACCTGAAGCTTATTCATCTCCATTTGCTCTAAAAAGCTTTGATTCAGTTTCAGCAAGACTGGGAGCTCATACAAAGCATTGATAGTAAATCCTAAATTATTTTCTGAAGATATACTAGACCAGGATTTCTAAAACATCCTCGAAAGGTTGTTTTCCTACTTAAATAGAATAAATCAAAGAACTCATAAAATTTCACCACTTCTTCAGGAAGACTCGCTGGTGATAGTAAGTGAAGATTGAAAAATCGTTATTTCTGTCAAAGTGTCTTCGTAAAGTGTTTCCTATTGGTGGTAGTAAAACACCAACCATTAGAAAACTGTTGTTGAATGTTTTGCTTACTAAGAAAAAATATGAAAAGAGACTACTCTAACATCTAAAACCAAACAAGTCTAGTGAGCCTGATATCTACCCCCAAATTATGGGAGCTCTGATAGATATAGTTAAGAAAACACCCGTTATGTCATTTGATACGCCACTGAGTCCGTTGAAGCTACTGAGAGATTCAAATGATTAAACGATTAATATAGTTTATAAAATTATAAATAAACACTTGATAGTGACTAACTCCCTGTCAGCTCTACTAGCACTGCAGCAAAGTTAATCAAAAAAACTAGTCGAATTGTTACCATACTCTGTGGCAAGAGAAAAAACGTTTTAGTGCAGATTATTCATGTTTAACCAAACGTATTTAAAGATAATTTTGTACTGCAGCAATAGATTACAATATTTTATTAGACCCATGATAGAGTTCCTCGAATGGGTCCTACAGAGACGTTTTAGTATGAGTTGCACACTCAAAGATTGAATTAATGACTTTTTCAGTGACAGTAGGTAATGCGTGAGAGTAAACGGAACACTATTCTCATAAGATGCCATGAAGATTGGGGTTTCTCAAAAGTTAATCCTAAGCATATTTCTCCTTACACTTTGAGTAAATGACCTTATGAAAATAAAGAGGTCATACGTCATATTGTTATAAACCACAGTAAAGTATTAGGTTACATGCTTACAGCAGTTAATAAAACACTACTACAGGAAGACTTGTGAGCTCATTTGAGTGAACAAACAGAGTTCTAACGAAATCATAGGATCTTAAAAGTCAAGTTAAATGACCATAAGGCAATTGTCGCTACGGGCTTCTGAATCCTTCAGGTAATTTGTAAGGCATTTTGCCACACATGAAAGATATATCTAACGTATAAGAGGCCCCACATAAAATATAGGATTCGATTGTATAGTTTCTTGTTTATATATGAGGGAGATACGCAAGGACTGAGTTCACTGGCATTGGGATAAAACAAAGAAGAGTTTTTCTGACTGGCTTTGAGAGGACAGACTGAAACTCATCAACTAATTCCCACCATCTTACCATAGGTTAAGGGGTGATTTGTTAGTATTTTACCGCTGAACAACAGAAGATATTTGTGTTGATGTGCCGTGTTTTTTTTGGAATAGATTGTGTGAGAGAACACCCTTAAAGGATAGAAAGTTTAAGATCAGATTGTTTACACACAAAGTTTCCTTTCTCGCACGAAGTCATGAAACAGCGAGATTCCCCAGTATGTCAACTGTTATGAGTATATTTTACCGGCGCACTCACAAAAAGACTGGATCCTCGCAGCATTAAAAATCACCTGATGTCCTATCTTGACCTTCGATGACTGAAAACTACTTCGATGGATGCTACTTCGTTGACTATTGTTAATATATCTCTGTAACCAAAGACCTGAAATCCAATGTCAATTTATATATCGCCACAATAAATCATCTGCACTTGGTCCTTCGAATTTTGGAAAGCTTATATATATATATATATATATATATATATACGTCTGTTCCTAAGTAACTAAGAAAGACGAATGCGTCACAAATTTGGACCGTGCCTTCCAATAAACCTATTTTGATATACCAAGACCAAAACAAAAATAAATTAAGCGTACTTGAATATATATACACTGTGAGTATATTTGAGATCCCTCTAGAGATACATTCATAAACACCAGATTCAGAGAACCCAGTTTCACCGATTTCCCACTGAACTTCGCTCCCGAATTTTGTTATCAGTTGTGTCGTTACATTTCTGTCATACTCCTTGCGGCTGATAGTTATATTATCCGGACTGGTAGCTGAACATCGCAGCTTTAAAGGTCGTCCAAGATAAATAGTTTTTGAACTTGTGAAAATCCATGAGTCGCCATCCAAGATTGATAACGAAGTACTGAAGTCTGATTAAAAAATCGGTTCGATACCTGTATTCTAACTTACCTAAAGACAATGAGGATAGAAATCTAACGAAAACTAATAAAGCCAATAAAAACATCACACACAAACTGCGCGCTTAAAAGTGCACATAAATATAAATTTCAGTAGTTGGTGCAAACAGCTACGTTTTTCCCAATACACACTATCAAAGGAAAATCCGTGTTAAAATTTCATCACAGCTTTTTATAACTAGTTTAAATATTCAAATACTTAACAGTGAAAACATATACCTTAGCTGAAGTAAACACATATGTAACTTTCAACTCCGATAATGGGATTAGAAAATCATCTATTCCTTAGGATCTGCATCTGGGTTTTCAAATGAATCTACTGGTTAGGAAGAGTTATGATTCTGTGTATATTATCTTTATAAGCGGGAGGGGGAACAATTTAGTTAATAATGGAAATGATTGAGTAGTAACAGAGTAATCCTCATAAATTACTAAACTACAGTGATTTTCAGGCGATCTTTTGAGAGGTTTAGTCGAGCGCAAAATCGCTTTGACTCGTGGTATTGAGTATCATAACTTACTGATTCAAAAAGTGGTAATTCCGAAACGGAATTTTTATGATCTCTTTCGTGTTGTCTTAAGTGCATATTATTTTTTCTGTGATTTGTCAAAAAATGTATCAGTGTTCTCTAAGGTTTGGAAGAACTATGCGCGAGATGACTCACTGGGGCCGTATCCCTTGCAGTCCTTTTTACCACACAGGTTACATGCTTGAAGATTCCAAGTCAACCGGGTAAGATATATTTTTTGGTCATAGAACCTTTTTAATTTCCCTTCTTTGGATATGTTCCAACAGAAGTTTCAAGATGTCCATCACGTCAGGTTTATTAATATCTAATTTTTTGTATAGGTTAGTACCGATTGCATTTATCTTGCTACTAATATAGTAGATTCAATCCCAAATGTATAGATTTGCCAGGATATGGCTATTCTATAAGATTTTATGTTCAAGTCAGATCAATCTATTCTGACTTGTCCCATCATAATAGTCAGGAATATGCTGTTTCTGACTTCTGAGGAACACATTACGGATGAAGACAGAATTATATATTTGCTATGAAAAGGTAGAAGCTACATAGTGACCACACCTTTATGACCGAGGAATTAAGGGTCCCCGCGTTATCTACCTCTGATCATCTCTGAGTGTTGAATGCTGAATGCAACTCTTCTCAATTCTCGTATTTAGATCTAGGGATCGTGTGACTGAGAACTAATACCGCCACAGAAACTGAATTAACGAGTGACTTCTCAAATGAGGTCTAAAGTAAACACTGAAAACCGTTCGGAGAACTACAGAGTCAGGCTACCAGCCGTCCTAACAGGGAACGTCAAGAGTATTACAAAAGTCAATGTATAGGTCTTTTTCAGTGATAGAAGTGTAAGAAGCGATTTCCTACGGACGTAATTCTAAACTAATCAACCGGCTATCAAACTACGATAGTTAGAAATATTCGAATTTATGAACTAAGAATTTCCGAAATAATGAAATTTAAGGCAGGTAGAACTATATAAGCACAAATTAACCTAAGTCCTTGTAACATATACGATTTTCGTGACTGGCTTAGACATGGGCCGTGGATTTACGGACCATCTCTGGTAGACCTCTCGTAGGTGGTAGAAAATCAGTTCATTGACAAAGATTTTTGTGGTTGAACAATTTTCATTATTCTTACTTTTGCGTGCGGTCTGTTAACTTTGCACCGAAAGATATTATCTACTCTCCTCATCGGGTCATTTAATTTTGAAGCAGTAATTGCTGTTTATTTTCAAGTTCATGAAATTTCTTGCTTGCACATTAGAATGAGAGAGCTTTAAAATCGTGTGTAACTCTTCGCACTTTGATCCTGTAGTTAGCGTTTTACCAAGCAGTTCAACAGAACCGTCTCCAGTGATCAAGAAGGAGAGCCGGCCTTGAGGTATTCGTATATTTTCTAGACTCAGGATAGATTGTATGCAATCAGTGATAAGGAATTCACAATAAAGGACTGAAGATTTTTGCCTCTAATCAGCAAATTATAGCACCTAAGCGTAGAAAGTTTGTGACCAGTAATACCTGAAATAGAAACTTTGTTGGGTTTAGTCAGAGCATTGAGATGTAGTGACTTCGGTTTTCCGACTGAAATAATAAACTTGATATTGTCAGTGTCAACAATAAATTCGCGAAGAGCAACACTGGACATACATTACCATTTTGGATAGGAAGTGAATTACTCAAAGTTGTAAATAAGTATAGCACATGACTATTAATCAATGAAATCAGTAGGATCCAAAATACGAAGTCTAGTATTACTTGCGGCAAAATGAACATTAGTTTCACAAACCGACTGGATGCCTGCCACTTTGCTACACCTGGAGCATTTAGCATGACCAAAGACACATTAATTGCGTAATGAAATTTCCTACAACTAAGCATTCACCAAACCTGTGCTCACCTCTGTAACCTGATTTTCTACTCAACCAATTTGTATCCATGTTTTTGCGAGAAAGAAGGTTACCGTTAGTTAAACGCCTGCTTGCATGACCTTGGGCAGTAATCGGAATAAGTTAACTAGACAATGCAATAGAAATCTTGGTGTCCTGGAGGTCAATTTCATGCACTGTTTTTCATAGTAAATACGCACAGTTATAGCATGTTGGAGAAAAACTTTGGCATTTGTATTATCTGTCTTTCCAGATTTGGTATGTCAATCCCTGCAATAAACCGCTCTCACAGCTACATATGGAAATCGAAATTAGTACATGTTACATGATTTGGTAGTAGTTCTTTGAAAGTTGAGTCGTGAATTGAAATAGGCTTACTTAGGAATGCCAAAGTTTTTAGTAAGCTATAAGCATCCTTCCATACGAATGTAGGAAAATGAACCTCGATTTTATTGTCTTGAACAACTTCTCTGGTCACACACCATATTTCAAACCTTTTCATATAATCCTCGCAAGCTTTAGGATTTCATTGTACATCCAACAGTTCAATAACAGGCTCCAACGCGACGCCATTGTGACGATTAGGAATATTCGAATTATTGTACTGACTAAGGAATTCCCTAATTAGTGCAATTTACATCAAATATAACAAGGTGAGCACAAATGAACTAATTATATTTGGAATTCACAATCATCACACAAATAAGTGAATAGGAATCATTAGACCGTAAAAATACGAACATAAAGTCTTAGATTAGTCAAAGTCCGGACAAGTAACATAAATTTACAACATCAGTATGCAAGAAGTAACCAATACTGTTGTAACGTGTGGACTGCAGGTCTTGATAAGCAGCGTTTATATCGATCGATTACAGTGACACGTAAAACACGTAAGGACGACCTAGAGTCCCGATTGGTCCCGCTTCCCTGTCTAGCACAGCCAGTTGAGTCTAGAACGCAAGTCACAGCCTCTGAGTTATGAATCTTCATATTTCAAACATACTCTGTTTATATGTCAGCCAAACAGATCACACCGTATCATAAAAATAGAAAACAACATCTGTACAATATTTAACGAGTGAAATAAATAACGGCCAATAGGGAATGCCCATTTAACGTCCAAGGACACCATTCGACTTAACACAATAATTATTGGTACATTCCTCAGCATACCTAACAAATACAGTTTACTTGACAGAGTAAAAGAATGAATTACTTAATATACCGAGCAATAACTAGAGTATGGTAAAACTTAGTCAACAAAGCTCAATACAACTAATGTCAAACACGAGAAATTATAATTAACCAATAGGTCACCAGCCTACCAAACCCATTATGGGAGCTGTCTACATATAGTGATTAATACAGCCCTTTTAAATTCATACAACTGCATAACAATTTTGGAATGCGATATCTGACTATGTGATGCATGCTACTTATTTTTGTCAACATCAGTAGTATATAACAGCAATCAGAAGTGGAATATCTGGCAGCGTAAGGTTGAGGAGTTCGAATCGAGGAGAACGATGACATAGAAAAATTGTGCTAGCAGTGAAAGAAAGGTGCTACTTGAGGCATTTGATGGAGGATTTGCAAATGAAGTATTGAATGCATGGTTTTCACATTCCAAGAAAGAACTCGGTAATTTTGTACTAAACTTAAAATTTATTGTCCCCACCTTAGTTCTCGTTCACTGCAAGTATATGACCGTCTAGTGCATCAAATGAACTTTACTGGTTAATTTGTGTAGAGCTCTCTGAATAATCCAAGTGCCTTTTGTTCGAATCTTCCCAACACTATATTTTTCGACTGCCTGTCTATATACTTATCTGTTAATCATATTTCATCATCACGCTGAAGTATAAATACTTAGAATGTGCTGACTGGTTAACGCTGAACAGTTTGGATTTATTTCAATACCATGCATATTAGATCAGTTTCATTAATCCTTGATACATTTGTTGGTGATCCTAGGGCCATTGGTGATAAAAATCTAATCTAATTACGAAAGGGCCTAATTTCGGTGTTAATCCAATTCTGTTAAATTTTATCCCTGCTGTGTTTATTTATTTCCATCACAATTGATTGTTCACTACTACGGTATATCCTATTAAATCCAATCATCTAACTATAAAAATTAAAGAACACTTATACTTCAGTTCTTACTGAACTTACTAGTCAGCATTTTTGAAGTTAAAGATGACAAGATGACTAAGGATTATTAATGGGTCTGTGGTGGTTCCCAAACCAAAGGAGCTTACACAAAATATATTGATACACTAGGTTAACAATGATATACCAAAACAAAAATAATGGCAAAGAAACCTAGATGTCTGTCCGTTAGTAAAAACAAAGGTAATAAAATACCGTTAGCAATACAAAAGGTATATTAAACAAACAGACGCTAACAGTTACTATAGAATGAATGTTACTTGTTAACTGCCACGTGAGAACAACGATCACAAACTGAGTTCACTTGATTGACAGGTGTTCTTCTGCAAGTGACTGCACCAATGACTTAATGAGGAAGACGGAGTCCAATAGTATTATACAATAGTAAACCGCGCCAAAAGTTCAACGTTGAGTCGGAAGGCCTATAATGATGTTATAATACTATTATAGTCTTCAATCAAAACGGTGGCCAATAAAACAGAAGAACAACGGCGTAGATAGTGTTCTATATTTTAAACAACGCGGTAGTAGTATCGTATATCATTCATCGAAACAAAAATTATCGTCTTTTTAACAAGTGATAAAG